CTGCACTAAGTTCCTCTCTGGGCCGATCCAAAGACATCTAAGATATAGGGCGTCAACAGGAAGGATGGATGAGCGTGGGATACCTGTCAGGAATATATCGTAATGGCTAGTTATTTGTAGAAATATATTTATTTAGTTTTAGTTTATTTAAAATATAAAATAATCGCGTAAATCTAAGAAAGTATTAGTTTAATAATAATAATAATAATAATTTATTTATTATAACACAACAACAATAAAAAACTATAAATTAGATAACAATATACATTTACATTTGAAATAAAAATTAACATATAATTAATTGATTAATTTAAAATTTATTTATTTATTTATTTCAAATCTAATCAAAATTTCAAATTTTGTGGTTGAGATCCCCTTTTAAGCAAATAATTTGCCTGTATTAGGAGACCCCGCCCTTTCATAAAAAAGTAATTTTATCTTTTAGCTGATTATAATATTATGGGTGATACTACAAACTTAAATAGATCAATTAAGACAAACAAAAAAATAAAAAATTAAAATAAAAATTAGCGTACATATATTTGTTTGTGTATTGTGTGTGAGTGTGCGTGTGTGTATGTGCGTGCGCGCGTGTGTGTGTGTGTGTGTGTGTGTGTCCGTGTGTGTGTGTGTCCGTGTGTGTGTGTGCGCGTGTGTGTGTGTGTGCGTGTGTGTGCGTGTGTGAGTATTTAATGAATATGTTCTAATAGTTTTTCCGTATCATTGTAACTAAGGGTTTTTATCCAATCTATTAATGTCTTTTTGCATTTATGGTAATTGTAGGGGTAAACATAAATGATACTGTTAATTTTATTATATAATTGTGCAGATCTTTTATCGAATTGCATTGACGCAAATGTTGTTCTTGTTTGTGGGATTTTAATTATATTTTCTTTCCTTCTTTTTAATGTTAAAGACGCATCATAGGAAACAGCCTTATGTACTTTTAGTATAGTTTGAGTAATATACAGCTTTCTAACTGAGAGCAGTGTGCTAACTTGGTACAGATTCTCAGTTGGAAATGTAAGTTTTTTAAAGTACATACATTTATTATTTTTATATTAACAACTTAACTTTCATTGTACATGTTGCGTTAGTTTTACTAAAACTATCCCGTAGAATTAGAATCCTCAATTATTTATTTAATATATAAAATACTCGTGTCATAGTGTTTGTAACAAAACTCCTCCGAAACGGCTTGACCGATTCTTATTAAACTTTGTATGTATATTCAGTAGGTCTAAAAATAGGACGTCAGCTATTTTTCATACCCCTATGTGATAAGGGTGGTCCACCCCAAAAAAATATTTTTTTATTTAATTTTAATTTCATTATTATTGTTTGGACAAAAAAATTATTTACATTTTTTTATGATTCGGCATTAAAAATACATACACACCTAAATTTTCACCATTCTACAACCGATCTCTATTTTTTAATAGCGATATTAGTACTTACATTATTTTCTACATACTCTCGGAAATTTATACAAACCGCTAAAACGTAACTAGGAACGAACCCGAGCGGGGCGGGGTCAATCGCTATTAGGTATATAAAATATTTCATTAATTAGATTTAGTAAATAAAAAAACAAGTTATATTTAAAACGACTTTATTATCACAACAATACACAATAGGAGAGAAGATTAGATACATATTTAAAATAGTGTTTACTTGAACCTCGTTTTGTAAGACTACTATTATATTTTAGGTATAATAAAAACTATTTATTAAAAAAATCTTAAATAAAGGGATTTAACAGCAAATTACAACTATATTATCCCTAAAAATACGTAAATTATTATGTATTTTATTTTTCGTGTGCAATGGAATGTAAAATGCTATATCTAAAGTCTATTTAAATAGTTTTAATTGTTTTATGCCAATCTCTTTCTATTAACGTTACTTAATGTGACCGTAAAAATATTCGAGCTATAAAAACATTAAAGCTCGAAAATATAATATTTTAATTTTGACGTTTTTTCTTATGATTATAAAATACTCTATACAATGAAAAAAAAAACATTTAAATAGTCCATAAATAAATAATGTTCAAATTATTCAAATATAATAATCAATGGCCATAGTGACAAGCAGATAAGTAAACAAAAATACAATTTTCAATAACAATTTATTAAGAAAACTATTAAGATAAATTGTGAGCCCAAAAGAAGTCAGAGCCAAATAGTATTTATCATAAACATGTCTTTGGATCTGTTTGAGTTTAAACAAAATAATTAAATGTTTAAATCCACATTTACAGTACTTAAAAATTGCCTCTAATACCTTGAAGAAATGGTCTAATAATATGTAGGAATTGGGATATCCATTTGTAAGTATATTACACGAAAATTTCGTGTAAAAAAGAAAGTTACATTTTAAAACGTCCCAGGGTGCATCTAGAGATAAAAATCTTTGTATATGAATAAAATGTTCATGATTCAAAGAAATTATAAATAAATCCAAAACATTTAAATCTTATCTATGGAATGAGAGACAGAAACAAAGAGAGACGAGAGAGAGAAAAAATGGATAGACTAAAATAACGAAAGACATAAATTTTCGTATATCTAATTCAAAATCAGTACAATATGTATAAAATTATCTAAGTAATTTATAATTATGTAAATGTAATTTATAAATATGTATATAAGTCCAAAAACTTTTCAATTTGGCAACACATATCCTTCAAAATGTCACATTACAAATCACATTCCACATTCTTACATTATTTATAAAATATAATTATCTCAAAAAATCGCAATATATACAATGACTTTTTTGTGCGATATCATCATGTTACCTAATATTGATATAATGTGTTAATTATATAGGCCGTGGTAGCCCTGTGATAACGCGCTCGCTTGGGAAACCGAGTGATTCGGGTTCATATCCCGAGTCTCGCACCTCTGATATTTTCTTGTGCGAATCATTTCCAACATGATAACCACTTGTCTTACGGTGAAGGAAAAAGTCGTGAGGAAACCTGCATGTCTGATAAAACCTAGCAAGTTTTCGAAAGACATGTGAAGTCCGCAAACCCATACTTGGCTAGCGTGGTGGACTATGGCCTGATCCCCCTCGTATTGAAGGGAGGCCCGTGCCCAGCAGTGGGACGTAAAAAAGGGCTGAATACATGTGTTAATTATATATTACGAATGAATTATGGCTAGGCACACGGCCATCATCCAAGTTCTAGGAAACTCCAAGAAACATCGAAAGAATGTCCTTATTTAGAAATGTACACACTCCTGTATGTGTCAGTTAAAATCTATAACAATTACTAAGTCGTTATTTCAAATTATTTCTTTTTTGTTTCTTTTTATTTCATAAGTAAAGTAAAATGAATGCTTTGTAGAGGATCTTATTATGCAAGAGTGCTTTACATGTTCGAATATCACACCAAATTAGACATATTTCATTTTCTATGAAATTGGCACGTCTATAGATACCACTGGCATCAGTGATGGTCTGCTCGCTAACTATAATTTGTCAATATGAACTCAGCCATATAAGTATCGTAAATAATATCGATATGGCAACAATACACTAGTAGGTATATAATTACGAAAGTGTACGGGTGAGTCATGTTGTCGTCGATCCGTTGTGGAACAGAAGTAGGATAAACGGTTTTGATGGAGATTTCCTTTTCTTTAATAGTCTAATAGCAATTTAACTGAATAGCTGCGGCGTCTTATAATGACGCACATCATCGGTATCGTTAGGAGATTATATTTATAGGAAGATATCTATAGAAGATATAATGGTTTATACCATTATAGTTGCATAAAGTCCAGCCTCTCAGTAAAATAATTTTAATTACTTAAATATTTGATTTAATACTATCTTATACAATATTCCTATTAAATACACTTTCATTATACTCGTAAATAAGTTTACGAATTATTATTTTTTTGTCCTCGTATTACGAATTGTATTTAATAGTTTATTCACTGAATAATGTGGGCTTCGCCACTCTATGACTAAATTATTGTAGAAAAAAACCCAACAAAAAATTTAACTACTATAACTAATCAACAACTATTTCTATACCTACTGGATTAGTTTGAAAAACTTGTTGAGGAAACTTAAGTATTTACTATTTTTTTTATTTTTAATGGTAATGTGTGCATAACTCTCGTACAATTTTCTGCCTACTGTCGTTAAGATTACAGATTATTCCATATATCTAGTTTTTAAAAGGACAATGCTCATTCTTGGTATAGATTTTTCTTATGCTTTAAAATGGAAGTAACATTTTAATTAGTTACTTTATTTATAGCTTTAATAGCGACTCACCCTCGCTACGCTCAGGTTCGTCCTAGGGACGATTGTACGTTTTGAGGCTTAGTATGGAATAGTTTTTTTTATTATTTATATGAGTTTGAAGCGATGGTGTTGCTCAGTAATAATGAAATGTAAAAATAAGGTTAAGGTTGAATTTTGAAGTATTTTTCTGGTTTCTTTCTTATTTTAATTTTAAACATGAAACAATTTTGTATATAACTATATAATTAATTATTACATTATAATGTAAACATTTTTTAGTTATGGTGTATAGTATATATTACATGGAAATGGAAAATTGACTGAGTTTTCTTTAATTCAAATAATCTCTTTTTAATTTCCTTCTATAAATCTGATAATTTTACAAGTTGACTTCAAATATGCATTCGTTTATGAAGGGACTAATGATATAACTATTCTTAAGAAATTGTCAATATTGGTAGCTCAGTCCATTCCTTTACATCTATGGATCCGTGTAATAAATCAGTAACAGAACATTAAAAAATATCCAAAATATAATATTTACGGTTTAGCCTTTTGGCTGCCGAATTATATAATTTTGAACATTTGACAAGCTGGGAGTAGGCACAGCACGCACTATCTCAGAACCGTGTAAATATAATCAAAATATAAAACCCTGAACTCACAGATACCCGTACCCATACGTACAACCTATAACAAAACGTGTAACCAAACTAACCCACACTCCATCACAGTAGAGGGAAGTAGCTGTTGTCGTTACAGTGCAGCGCAGCATGCAGCGCCGCGTGCAAGGCGTGCGCGGTGCCCGGCGCGGGCAGCAGGGCGAGCACGCGCCGCGCGCCCGCGCCGCCGCTGTAGCCCGCCGCGCCCGTGTAGCGCGCCACGCGGGCCATCGCTGCTGCACTTATCTGTGTCATATTCATTATAATGTACCTACAAACTTCTGCTAAGTAACATCAAATACACCTAGAAGCTTCTACAAGTGGAGTGAGAGCATCAAGTAAATTTGGAAACTACTGCATGTGAAATGAAAAAAAAAACAAATACATCTAGAAACTTCTACATGTGAAGTGACTAAATTTCGTTAAAAATGGAAAATCTCACTGGAAATAGTAAAGGACGCTATAAGATATGTATGGACAATACAATTGTTTCCTTAGTGGATACTATTTTTTATGTATAAATATTCCATTAAAAACGTAACTTCACCTATAAAGTCTCATAACAATCTATATCAATATTGAAATAGCTCTCTTGGCCGATGTTCCGCTCCCAGAATATTAGGGTTTTTAATAAATCTGCTGGTCCAAATATTGGACAAACAAATATTGTGAATATAAGTTATTTCAGTATGTAAATATTATTATTTTTGCCATATATGCCATATATTCAGTGTCATTTATGAGTTCCTGGCAAAACTATGAACTATCATCTCGTCTCAATCAGTAAGTCGTTTAAAAGTTACACTAATACTGAGGAGCACACTAGTATTGTTTTTCTCACTTAGCTTCTTCTCTTTTCGGCATTGGTTACAGCCGGTGCTATACCTAATGATTATATTCTCTACATATTTAAAATGGTAATATATCTCATACAACGAAAACAGCAACAAGTAAAGATACAGGAAAATAAATATATTATGTCGTAATGCAAAATAGCATAGCAGTATTACAGCAACAAAAATATCATCGAGGAGTCCGTCTCAAGTAGTAGTACTTGAGTAGGCAAATATTTGAGTAGTTCTTAGCTTACTCAACTAGCCACTTTTGGTTGAATATCATTATTTTGATTTAGTATCTCAAAAACAAGTGATGTCATGGACATCTTGTCTTGTCTTCAGCCCTTTTTAAGGTCCCACTGCGGGCTCGGGCCTCCCTTCAATGCGACGGGGATCAGGCATAGTCCACCACGCTGGCCAAGTGCGGGTTGGCGGACTTCACATGTCTTTCAAAAAGTTGCTAGGTTTTCTCAGACATGCAGGTTTCCTCACAATATTTTCCTTCACAGTAAGGCAAGTGATAATCATGTTGAAGAATGATTTACACATGAAAATATTAGAGATGTGAGACCTGGGATTTGAACCTGCTTCATTCGGATTCGTTATCACTGGGCTACCACTGTCTATATGTTAGTTAGAAAGTACTAGATGACCATGGCATATGCCATGGACACAAGTACTTCCTAACTAAGATTATTGTATCGAATCATCAATTAATGATCTGTTTTATTATATTACTATGTAGTATGTCAGTGTGCGGAAATTAGATTGATAACAATATTAAGTTTAACTAACTTTCGCAAGGCTAATCCGATCCCAGCGAATGAATTTTCTATATGTAAAAAAGAGTTAAGATTAATAGAATAGGAAGGCCACGTAATATAATAAATTATTTAATTGCCCTTCATGCATAAATGAAGAACAAAATATAAACAGAATTTATAATATAATAAATAATCTTATTGATATCTTATGAAACTCGTATAAGGCAGTAGTAGCCCAGTGGTAAAGCGATAACTTGGGAAACCAGGTGAAGCGGGTTAAAATCCGGACCTCTGATATTTTTATGTGAAAATAATTTTCAACATGATTACCACTTGTCTGACGATAAAGGAAAACGTTATGAGAAAACCTGCATGTCTTAAAGAAGTAGAAGCAAGTTTTCGAAAGACGAACAGATGAAGTCGACCAACTCGCGCTTGGTGAGCGTGGTGGACTATGACGTGATCGTATTGAGGAGAAATCCGTACTCAGCAGTAGCACGTAAAAAAGGGCTGAATATATAGTACATACATACATACTCTAATTGACAATAATAAGTAAAATATACAAGTAATTATTTTTGTTATATTTACCTGAAATTCGTTGTCTTCATCTGCAACGTCGCGTGATTCCGACACTTTAGACGCACGCTTTTGTGTTACGACCAACTGCAAAATAAATTTTATTATAATACTTACCATAGGAACTTTAATACAATGTTTTATAATATCATACATAATATTCAACGAATTAAAACATAATGCTGACTTATCCATACCTCAATAATTTGACCCTGGTACGGCCCGAGGGTACAGAATTTGAAATCGATCATTTCTACGACGCGCTCCGTTTCAGGATCGGCTATGACTAGGAACTGAACATAAAGTAAAAGAAAACTGTTAAACAGCAATCAGATCAAAAAATTAAATAATATACCTAACATTGAGTTAACTTTTTATTCACTTAAATTTAAATTTTTAACATTTTTTATTTAAAAATTTATGCTCCAACCCTAATCACACCTCGCACCACGTACAACAGATATTTGCAATATACCTATATATTAGAGAATCCTTAATAGTTAGAAACTTAATATTTTATGAACTAGCTCTATGCAAAAATTATGGCGAACCATCACTTCATTGCTGGGTCAAATATAAACTCATAAAGGAACAAAAATACTTTATCATTTATAAAATACATTTCTCAATTACAAAACAAGCATAAAATAATTATACTTTTATAATATCAAAAGAAGTGTACATTTAGGTAATCTATTTCCTTGAGGTATAGCCTATTCTATAAAAAATCAGTTCAGAATTAGCCAAGATATCGTATACATTACATACACACACAAAATATACTGAAATTTGACTGACCTCGAAAAGGGAGCACCCTCCTTTTCGAAGTCAGTCGAAAACACAAAAGCAAAGTAGAAAAAGACAGCAATACCTTAATACGTATGGAGAAAGAACTATCCCTATAGCGATACCTTAAGAAAATAAGATAGAATAAGTGAGCAATACCTTGTGTGTGAGGAGCAAATGTAGGGGCGCATCGTCCAACAACGCTGCGAAGCCAGCGAGCGCGTTCAGCTCGGCCAGGCGGAACCCCCAGCGCACGCAGTCCCGCCTCCACCCGCTGGCTGAAGGCTCTGATAGGGACCTTACTGTACCGGCTTTGGGCTGTGGATGTAATATTATTATAGTATTTTGTTGTAAGAATAAGTAAATGAAAAACATATGTTTCCGAATAAGGAAAGATTTTACACAGTAACGTAATATATATTTAAGGGATATTTACAAGTATTATATAGAAAATGTCATCTTATCATACAGAGGCGCCACCGATCCTCTAAGGGTTTCATTTTTCAGAGTGTATGATATTACACATATTATATTACCACTTAATATTATATTACCTGAGGTACTGGATCCCACCCGGTTTGTGTGAGGAGACCGTGTCCGGCATACGCCACTAGGTCAGCAGTCGCACTCAATGGTTTCGTTATAGCGCCCACTAAGCCTCGTCGTAGCGCGGCCGCTCCACTACCACTCTCTCCCACGGCTACGCCCACTAGGGGATGGTGGGCTAAGCCTCCAACTGCACCTGTTGTTAATAGACATATAATATACTATAAATATCCACCGTGCGTATTTTTAGTATACATATAAATATACTGTCAGCTTTTCTTTTGGAAAATCAAATTACATATTTAATTACCGAGTATATTTATAGCAAAATTGGTGATGCCAGCTACAAGGCCAGCCATTAGACTTGGCGGTGGACGTCTCCTGTGTAAGAAGAAATATTGTTATTAATGAAAAAAAGGTTGAATGTAAGAGATTATTATTAAAATAAAAATTTTAATTATAATTTACTAATTAAACACATTGATCCCTTATAAAATTTATCAACGATTTGAATAGAACTTGCATTTAGATGGACAATATGATTAATATTTTATTAATGTAACGTGATTTGTAATGTTAATTTTATAACGATTTACTTATGAACTTATCAATATACAATTCATACCAAGTAATAAATACATTAAGCAATAAACAAAACTCAACCTGGCCGCCGCAGCCCTTCTCGCATGATCATCGTCTCCTGCAAGCAGATCGAGGTTCCTCGCCAAGGAGCCGGCGGCCGCACTGAGGCTACGTAGCAGAGCGCCGGCTGCTGCAGACGCGACCCCCCTCACCCCGCCCCCTGCACTTCCCACCCTCGATGCTAGAGCTCCTGGCGCGCCTAGTAACTCTAAACCACCTACCACCCACCCTGGAAAATACGCTCTTATTCTTAGCTATGGCCGTTGCAGTAATGTAAGATTATTTAAGACTATTTAATTCAAAATAGAAATAAAAATCGTGAATATAATTATACGCCTTTAATGTCAACCATTTATTGAATCCGCACTATCTCGCCGGTAAATTTCACATATACGCCTGTATGTATACAGGTAGTATGCCTTGATGCATTTCCTAACGTTAAAAAAGGTATAGTAAGGCAATGTTGAATGGTGGAAGGTGTAAAATGTTGTGTGGTTATAAATGGGAATTGTGTTTTAAATCTGAGTATATATTTCTCTCTATCGCACGTGACTAGATCAGCAGTGATTATCGATTTGGGTAAATGGAAAATTAAGACTCTTTTATATATAATATAACAGAGTACAGATACAGTAAGAAAAGGATGGCGGGTGTATAAATATATTTTGAATTATAAATGAAATTTATTTGCCTTCGTTTTTAAATTTTGGAAAAACTCTAGAAGTCAATATTAAACAAATTCTAATTGTAATGTCGATTTGAACAATTGACCAGACCTGATGATTGTTAGGACAAGAACAGAGGAATCCTTTAATCGTAAATTATTATTAAAATCTTTAAAAAAAGTTAAATAGAAATGAGAGGATTTCTCTTTAACCATTAAACACGACCATCACTTTTTGTCATTGCTACATACATAGTACGTTTATACTTAAAATGCTACGTTGTCAACGCAGACTTGAAACAGATAAAAATTTAAAGCAATTAATTAAACTTCTATTGTATTTAAAAAAACTTCTTACAGATCTTTGTAAATCCTTCTTTAATGTTACGTTATTTTATAATTATCTATATATTGAATGAATGTTGACGTTTGCCTTTTATGCATTCCTAAACCATTCAAGTTTAGGGACATAATCGAGCGAAGCGAGGGTAACTCATTAGTATAGTTATATTATGTAGATTGCATATACAAAAATAATATTAAATTCCTAAAAATACCAATCTTGATATGTCAACTCACCAGCCCCGAGTATGGCCGCAGATAGATAGTGGACAGTGAGAGCGTGAGTCAATCTTTCAGAAGAAGTCATCACATCTTGCAGTTGGAAGGCACTCAGTCGTAAGGGACTCTCATCTAACGCAATGTACATGCGCACCTAAAATTGAATCAGGCACTATTAATAAACTGCTACATAAAAAAAACTATAAATTATATCCATTAATAACACAATTCAAAATACCCACCATTTTTAGTTAAACATTTTATTTGGAATATATTAAAGAAAAATAGCTTTCAAAATTATTAGCAATTTGAAATATCATAAATTATATTATACAATGATAAAGAATGACAAAAATATAATAAATACCGCAGTATGCAACGTCAGGGTCAAATCCAATGGGTGTATGTGTAGTTTCCTCAAACGCAAAGGATTTTGTAGATTGCTAATTTCTGTAATGGCGACGACTTCAGACGTCTGCGCGGTGAGCGGCGCCGCCAGGCGGTACAGCTCCACTGCCGCGCCGACGTACGCGTCCTCTATGTATAGTCCTAATGGACCAAGTTTCAGCTCTATTTCTGTTAATTCTGGAAATGACAAATAAAAATATATACGAAAGTCGCTCAGAAACATGTATCTCAATTTTTAAAGATCTGTACATAAATATTCTAAAGATTTGTGTGGACCATATTATTTTTACCCCTCAGTTGTATATTCCATACCCCCTTTAAATTGTCAGTGGGATTTTGAAATTTGTGTTTAGTTTATAATTTCATATTAAATGTATTAGTGTTCTTGTAATAATAATGTACATTTTAAATAACCAGTTCGGATTGCCGATTAAAAGTTGATTACTTTAGGCGTTTATGGAAATAAAATATATTTCCATAAACGTGTAATCATTTTTATACACAGTAAGTTTCAATGAGCAAGACTAAACAATTATTAACTTACTTATTCAGGACTAGTGCCTAGTTTTAGCACCTTTTGTGATATAGATACAAAAACTTCGACTTTTCGTCATCGTCATACGCTTGTAATATGTACGTACATACATCTTTAGGCAGACGATAACGCTATCATTTTTCCGAAATGTATAACTGACAGACCCTAGTCGATCCGTGTCTGGTTTATTTCATCCAAATTCGTGAAACCATTTCCGGGTGATAGATTAACAGACAGACACACACATACATACATTAACATTAGAGTGATTTACTTACCCTGATATATACAGTCGTGTGCGGCCCACTTATCATGACAAGTGCGCAACAGTAGTCTAGCCTCATTAGATCGTACAGAGAATACCTCGTTGAACATTCCCCATAACGGCGGCCATCTTTCTTTTACTTGAGTCTCAGCTCTGGTAGTCGCTACAACCGCAAAGTCGTATTGCTCAGTTTCGTACTGTGCGTTGTCTATCTGCACGTCCGCTACCGATACGGTTGTACGTATTTTCTGTTTAGACACACAAATATTCTAAAATAAAACTTCTGTATTAAATAAGGACTAAGGCATTTTTCATATCTTTTTTGAAAATTGATGAATGAAATAATACATTATAAGTAGATTTCTGAAACATCAATATCGAATAAAATAATTATTATAAATATTGAATAGTTGCGCGACACAAGGATATGCATTTTACTCTACGAGTATTTATAATAATTAAGACTGCCTATTGTAAAGGTGTGGTTGTCTCTTCAACGCTAAAGGTTGCAAATTCGATTGTCGTTCAAGACACATGGAATTTTTTACATATTATGTAAAATTAATGTTTAATAAAAGATACGGGCGAGGTGATGACAACCCTTCCATTTGACAGCATTCTCGATAAAATTACATCACTATTGTATGGATTCTTATACTGTGTACTACTACTGTACTTATCTATCGTGTATTCGCTGGATGAACCAAACACTGAGATTTTGCGTGATTTCCACGTGATTAGTTGCAGATAAGACGCTTAGGCCGCGATTACAATGCAAGTCATAATTACTCCGTCGTTGCATTCCGTACCGTTCAGACGTCTCTCGTGTAGTTACCTCATTTATTATCAATGTAGGAGATGAAAGTGATGCGTCGGACAGCGAAAATTAATAAAATATTTGCAAATATTTCAAAATACAGTTAATTTTACTTTAATGTTGATTTTGTTTGTATGATGATTTTATTTTATTACAAATTATTAATAATTCTTCACTTCACTAAACCATTAGCAACATGAACGAGCCCTATAATTCCAAACCAGTTGCAAGTGTTAGTAGGCGGGGCTAGACAGTTTTCTGTCCTTATCAGTCTATTTAATGTGGGACAGAGAAAACAGAGTATATCCATCTTACCCTCGTATCGGACAACACCAGCGCCGCCGCCCGCTGTAAGTGAGCAGCTATCAGGGGCAAGACGTCCGCTGAAGCCCCTATTGTGATCGCTATGCTTTCTATCACACATCGCACTCGCTCCTTCTCTGGCCACACTTCATTACCGTCAGACCAATCTGTGAAAACCATTTTTTTTTACTACTAGCTATTATTATAGCTTTACCTATTATTATAGCTTTAATTATTATTATTAGCTTATTAGGATTAGCTATTATTATAGCTTTAGCTATTATTGTAGCTTTAGCTATTATAAAATGTTCATATACTAGCGGCTCACCCTCGCTTCGCTCGGGTTTGCCTCTAGAAAAACAGACCTATCCCACGGGAACCGTATATTTTTCCTAGATAAAAAGTAGCCTATGTGTTATTCCAGACTATAAAAAATATCTATGCCAAATTTTGTCCTGATCCGCTCAGCCGTTCTGGCGTAAAAGAGTAACAAACATCCATACGCACAAACTTTCACATTTATAATATTAGTATAGATTTTGTTTGTTCTGTTTAGTCCATTCCTGTGTGACTCCTTATAGTCCAGTCATTTAAGCTTAAATTAGGTAAGAATCTCGGAATTCGAGATACCCAGCTATAAGTCTGTAAATACTTGTATATTGACACCCTAAAAGTTGTCTCAAAACCTACATATGGTAGGGTGTACGCAACTATCAAATTTCAAGGTCAAAGGTCACAAAAATCGTTTGTTTTGCGTTTTTTTGTAAATATCTCATTTCCTATGGGTTTTTGCTATTTGTATTTATTATCAATATTGTAGAATACAAAATTATCTATAAATTTTGTTTAAAAATTTTTTTATACGGTGAACCGTTTTCGAAATAGAGGGTGAGAGTGCGCGGTCACAGAATCACTTCAGGTCAACCGGTGCCTCCGGTCGAAAACGCGCCATATTTAGTTGATGAACTATCGCTTAATTAATGATTATAAATATTTGTTATATTATATTTTATCATTTTCTTCATGCATTAAATCTATATCTATTCAATAATACTGATATCCGAAATCTGTGAAAAGTCTCGATCATCTTCGTTATATGCATTACGTCAAGTCTACAAAACTTAGTAAACCTGTGCAGCTTTCAAATATTCCACCAACAAGTGCAACTGCTCAGCGACATTTCAAACGTGTATATTATCAAGTTTAAACTTGGTTAGGGCATGATTTGGAACCCCGGGTATGGGGTTGGGCATTGCGAAACGATTTTCTGGAGCCTATCATGACAATTTTACCACCTGCTCCAGAAGATTTGCTAAATATAATTTTCTGCAACTGCAAGAGTGGTTGTGGTTCGCGATGCGGATGCAGGAAAGCGGGCTTGCAATGATCTTTAGCTTGTGGCCAATGTAATGAGCAAGCTTGTCTCAAAGCTCTACCATATCAGAGCGACATTAACGAAGATGGAACCTTTGACCCCGAAATCATGGTAGAACTTGAGACAAATGTCATTGAAGACGATAATGAAGATCAGTTTGAAATTTACCAGCAGCCGGAAGACGACGATGAAGAGGAAGAAGATGATTAAAATTATAAATTGTAGTTTTTGTACCCTTTATTCCATTTTTTTACTTTTAATAAAAATAAATGTATTGAATGATATTTTTTAATAAAAAGATTAATTCATAATTTATTTGTTTTTTTCCATCATGTAAGAAGTTATTAATAATAATTAGGTTAAAATTAAAATATAATTCCTATATTTTCATTAACAATTTTGCAATAACATGGGCAGGTTAGGTTAGTTGTTAAATAAATTAATACTGAATAAAAAGTGGATAGGTTAGGGAAAAAATGATAAAATATAATATAATAGTTAATAAAAATTGACAAATATTTATAATCATTGATTTATCGATAGTTCATCAACTATATATGGCGCGTTTTCGTCCGGAGGCACCGGTTGACCTGAAGTGATCCTGTAACCGCGCGCTCTCCGCCCTCTATCTCAAAAACGGTTCACCGTATAAAAAAATTTTTTAAACAAAATTTGTAGAGAATTTTATATTCTACAATATTGATAATAAATACAAATAGCAAAAACCCATAAGAAATGAGATATTTACAAAAAAAGCGCAAAAAAACGATTTTTGTGACCTTTGACCTTGAAATTTAATAGTTGCGTACACCCTACTATATGTAGATTTTGAGACAACTTTTAGGGTGTCAATATACAAGTATTTATAGACTTACAGCTGGGTATCTCGAATTCCGAGGTGAACTTACTATTATGACTGGACTATTACTTTTAATCGAAATAAAGCAATTTCACTCTTATAGCCGAATGAATTTGTTCAGCAATTAAAATTCGGTCAGTCAGACAAAAAATAAATAAAAAAATATTAAGTAAATAAAACAAAATAAATAAAATATTTAAAATGCAACATTTAATCTCTTATTTAGTAAAGTAGTAGCTATTCAGTCAAAGTTTATTCGTATTTTTATTTTTATACATAAGACGTATAAGTATATTTTTTCATTTAGTTTACAAAAAGAACCTGAAGAAACAAAAATTATATTTTCAAAAACGTAGTGTTTGCATTATTTGATTCATAAAATAATAAAACAATGAAAAATCATAAAGTGAAATAAAAGCATAAAAAGATAGATAACCTTTTTGAGACATAGCCTCCATAAGATAAGAAGTTTCAGAATAGTCTGTGGAATCTTTGCAAACTACCGTCACGGCGCTGGTCCCTTCATTATTGTACGCTTCTGTAAATATCGTTAAATTTAAAATGTTTTTTTTTTTTTAATAAGAAAAACAATTGTTTAAAATATCTTTTCTTACTATATTTCTATTGATATTCTTTTGAGTTTTATATTTACAACATTAAACATAAACTAGATATATTTGTTTAAATTGAATCATTCAAACTACGATGACTTAAAATAAAAGATAATTACTATGAACATAATATAAAAAAATACAATTAAACATCCAGTATAACCAAAGACAGAACCCCCTTTCTTGGATCAGTTGGGTGAGAACCAAAAAGTACTCATTAAGTGAGAAAAAAAAGAAAAAACAAACTTAAATTTTGTAGAAAATTCTCTTATACCTATTTATTACCCAGAACACACCTGCAATATCCGCTCGCACCATACTAGACAGCTTCATAAGAGACGAGTTATCTCGCTGCGCGGAGGGCTGCACCGCTGTCGTTATCACCATCTCGCCAGACAAACCGACTCTTTTATCTGTATCCTTTCTGTTGCCCTATTTTTATATAAAATAAATAAACTCACTTTTATGGCAGATTTTAAAAATGGAGGTGGTACTTAATGCATTTTTTTATGTTATGCAATTTCATCTCTAATTAACAATGATGTGAAACATTCAACGACACGTTTGGCTCAGTTTGCCGTGACCCTACTTGATGTGCCAGCAGTCGCAAATTCGAGTCCCGCTGGAGACATTCATTTATGTGATGAGCATGAATGTTTGTACTCCAGTCATGGGTGTTTATATTTATAATATGTAGATATATATTTAAAATTATGATATATGTGTAGTGTATCAACTATCTGATATCTATAACACAAGTTTCGTAGCTTACCATAGAACTTGACGGTGCTGTGTGTTAATGTCCCAACATATTTAATTATTATAAAAAAACTTCTAAATATTTTTTTTATGTATATATGTTGTCAGAATAATTATGAATATACACTAACTTGTAATGTTTGTGGCTCTTGTGATGGTAACTCTGTGGTTGATTTGACTGGCAAGAGTGGCGTCGCCTCAGCTACTTCTAAGCGCTTTTGTGTAGTTGATAATGGATCCGTTGCAACTACAAAAAATAATTTTCTTGCATAATTATTCAATATTTAAGTGGTATTATATTATAATACTTGAATGGAATTTTAAAAATATATAGAAATAAAAAATTATAACAATTTTTAATTTCATTCTTAAACACATATTTTAAAATTAACTCACGGTTTATATCCGAGCTGACTTTAGGGAGTACATTTTCGACATCATTGTTCTTCTAAAATAAAAAAATGGAAAATATTAATATAAGCACACTAAAGGATATATAAAGTATTTAATATAATATTAGTATTTAATCGACTTACCTCATCTAGAGATTGACTAGACCCTTCAGAGAAGGCTCCTAATAAACGTCGACGTATGTCACTTGCTGATATGTCATGCTAAAATAATTATGAATATACACTAACTTGTAATGTTTGTGGCTCTTGTGATGGTAACTCTGTGGTTGATTTGACTGGCAAGAGTGGCGTCGCCTCAGCTACTTCTAAGCGCTTTTGTGTAGTTGATAATGGATCCGTTGCAACTACAAAAAATAATTTTCTTGCATAATTATTCAATATTTAAGTGGTATTATATTATAATACTTGAATGGAATTTTAAAAATATATAGAAATAAAAAATTATAACAATTTTTAATTTCATTCTTAAACACATATTTTAAAATTAACTCACGGTTTATATCCGAGCTGACTTTAGGGAGTACATTTTCGACATCATTGTTCTTCTAAAATAAAAAAATGGAAAATATTAATATAAGCACACTAAAGGATATATAAAGTATTTAATATAATATTAGTATTTAATCGACTTACCTCATCTAGAGATTGACTAGACCCTTCAGAGAAGGCTCCTAATAAACGTCGACGTATGTCACTTGCTGATATGTCATGCTAAAATAATTATGTTAAAGTATTAATTATACCAGTTTGGTCACAGGAGAGACTAAGGTTTTAGACGCCTCAAAAGTTATTATATTGTAGTTGTTACAGACGGCATGTACCCGCTAAATTATACAATACTAGCGACTCACCCTCGCTTCGCTCGGGTTCGTCCCTAGGTTCATTTCCCATACAAACTTTCATCCGCGTTTTCACCCCCTTAAGGGATGATTCCGGGATAAAAAGTATCCTATGTCCTTCCCAGAGTCTTAAACTATCTTCTTAACAAATTTAATCTAAATCGTTCTGTCTAATAATACAACGTCACATATTCACAAACTACCTCTTTATAATATTAGTATAGATTTTGAAAGATAAAGATAGAAAAATAGCAAGTTCAAGAGCAACATTTTCTTCGTTTTAATAAATTAAATAAATATTATTTGTAGTATTCAAGTTATAGTATTATAATATAGGCTTCACATACTTGATCGACGTCTAGAAGTTCTATGAGTGTTGAGTGAGGATGAGTGCGTACACGCACTTTGATAGTGACGCCGCGCGGCAGCTGCAATAATTGCTCACCGTCTGCCACTGCTATCGGTTGGCACCATTCGTATAATGTTTCATCTGTGACGAGAAAATTACTATAATAATTATTTTCTTATTCTTTTCAGAAAGAAAATCAGATGTCCCTTATAACAAGATATGTAATGATACCTTAGATATAAAAATAATTAATATGTTATTATAGCATAAATGATCTACATATATGCGGAAATCAAATATACAATCTATGTCGCAGTAGATATACAAACAATATGGTTTTCTAAAGCTAAGTAAGTGTTGGATCGGATATTTTATCAATGTACACTTATTTGCCCAAATTTTTAGATATTTGAAAATAAAATGTATTATTAACGAATATTAATGAATTAATTGTAGTTCTATCAACATAAATGCTTTAAATAAATTAATGAAATGAAAATACTCGTCTCTTCACCGCGTCTCATTCAGCACGCGCCTCACAATTGTCTAGAGCCATATATTCTTAAATTGTTCTGCTTCGCACGGGGTGTAATACCGCCAACTTCCCAATTCCGATCTCTTACAATTTTGATTTTTCTTGACAGAAAACGCAACTACTACACTTGACTAGACCGCCGAGACAGCTACCTTGATTCAGCCCTTTTAAACGTCTCACAGCTAGGCACAGGCCTCCCTTTAGGAGTTCCCACGGTTCATCAAAAAGGAAATCAGTCCACAGGATTGGCAGACATCAGAAAGCTTTTGAAAATTTACTAGCTTCTCTCAGATATGCAGGCCTTACGATGTTTCCTTCACCTTACTAGCAAATGGTAATCATGTTGGAAATAGTTCGCGTAAGAAAGATCAGCAGTGTGACACCCAGGATTTGAACCGGCTTCATCTAAGTTATTACCTATTTACTATGTATGTATGCATAGTATAGTTATTATGTATGTATACATTACCTCTACAATGCCCCACAGTGAGGAAGGGTAGCGGCGGTCGCGTCGCGTGCGCGGGCGGCGGGTAGCGCGCGCAGTGCGCGGGCGTCGAATAGTGCGTCACACAGTTCTTTTTCACCACACACCACCATTTTATACCCGGACACTCTTGTACCACCTGTGGAAATCGATTTGGGTTTACTGTTAATAAACGTATGTATATATATATATATATATATATATATATATATATATATATATATTTGTTAGAGGTGCGTGTGTTTTTTTTGTAACAATGAACAAGCTGTTGTCGATGTAAAAAAATTCATAATAAAGTTAAAAATAAAATTATATTACAATCACTCTATTATGTATTTCGAGTAGTTATGCGCCTATAAAAATACTGCTAAATCTCGCACTTTACTGCTCTGTCATTTATGCACTCATTTTATGTATTAATTTTCTTTCCTACTATTACATATCTAACAAGTCAATTACAATTTACCTGAACAGACTTAAGCGTGGTTTCGTCAGTGATAGGTTGCGCTACTGCTAGCGGAGTTTTTGTGCGATTGTGTACTACGAACTGAGGACACGGGTCGGGTGCTACAGTGATGATCCAGCGAGCCTCGTGATGTACTTGAGTTATTATTATTGGTATCTAAAACATATCATAAACTTAATTAAAAAAATATGAAATAAATAATATTTTAAAATAATATTTTATGGTAATTTAACTAACAGAAATGAACAATTTGAACACATAATAAAATTTCCTTCCATGACAGAGTTCAATAATACAGACCTCAATAATTTAATAATTCATAATTCTAAATGCACTATGACTTAATACAATTTTTAAAACGAACCTCCCAAATCAAATATAGCCAAAACAATAAACATATACTAACAGATCGTCCATCACAGTCCATCAAGGCAATGGCACGCCTGATGGGTGGTGTGCCCAGTCTAATCGGCACGGGGGTGGTCGCAGGGTAGGTGTTCGAGGGTAGCGCGAGACACAGGAACGTTCGTAGCTCGTCCGCATCCCCACCTCTCCAACGACCGCTCATCCAGAACCGGCATAGCGGTGTGCCGTCGAGGCTGATGTGAGAGAAATGAACTTTTATTATTCATCATCATTCTCGGGGCCGCCTGACTGACATCAACCCTCTTTGGGAATGCTATTGTTTACCCGCCGTCGTCGTTATCCATACTAATATTATAAAGAGGTAAAGTTTGTTACTTTATAGGGGGTAATCTCTGGATCTACTAAACTGATTTAGATGAAATTTAGTAAGGGGATATTGAGACCCTGAGAGAGTTTGAGACCCTGGGAAGGACATATGATACATTTTATTCCGGAAATCATTCTTTAAGGGGGGTGAAAATGAAACGAACCCGAGCGAAGCGGGAGTGAGTCGCTAGTACTGTTATAAATGCAACAGCCTGCATATTTGTTACTGTTTCACGTTTAGTAAATAGGTGGACTATGCTCTAGTATAACTCGTATGGTACTATGCAGGGTACGCCGCTAGTGTATTATAATATTCTATAGATTTACAGAACCGGCGGGCTTTATAAGAGCATAATACGAGAAACACCCTCCTAAGTTCCTCCTATACAGCGTTACACCGAAAGCAGTTAAATATAAAATAAATTAAATGAAAAAATCTCTTTTCTATACCTTCCATCTCGTGTAGGTTGTATAACTTTGAACGTTTTTGGCTGTAATACTGTGTTCTTGTCTATCTCATTTGGCACTGCAACTGCTGACACCTAGTTATAAATTTTGATAAATATAAAATTTTAATTTAACAAATTTTTTATACAGATATAAAATTAAAAAAAATATATTTAATTAATACAGAAAGGATTATTACCAAAATATGAGTAGACAGTCTGTTGATTAATATGTAGGTAGAGGTGATGCCGAGGATATTAATATCTTCTTTTATCTCGTAGTACATTGTTAGTAGAGCTACCTTAAATGGAAAAAAGTTAAATATTAATTTTAGAGTAACGGTAGTGAAAAGTAAAGTGTTCCGTGATGCCTTATACCACGAGTGTGAATGTAATAAAACATTTATATTACAAATGACTAAAAAGTAAAAACCTAAATCTCTCACTTTACAAACAAATAAATAAATTCACCTGTATATGTACATATTATAATTTAAAGTACTCCGATGCGTATCTAGGTGTTTGTCAGTAGTCTATATCTTACTTCGGGTCATAGTCTATCTGTATACAATAAGCACGCGCACACACACGCACACGCACGCGCACACACACGCACGCACACACACACATGCACGCACGCACACGCACACACACGCAGGTACACATAGTAGTAGTGCAATACCTTCTGATTGCACTGTACAGCGAAATTAGCAGCGCGGTCGAGCGCCAAATGCCCAGGTGGCGGGCTCTCGTAGCGGCCGGGCTCGCGCTCGCACACACGCAGCTGCCCACTCACGAACGTCTCGCGACCTATCTCTACTGACATGAAGAATGGTTTCTGTGGGTACAAGAAAAATGTTATAGTCTGATTTTTAATGCCACGGAAATATGACAGTTGTCATTCTTTGACAATTCAGATATCTTAAACCTTTTCTGCTTTGTATTTTTTTAACATAAAATAACAAAAATACTAAACAGAATTAGATTTCAAACACACGCAAAATAGGCGCACAGACGTCGATTTGCGAAAACAAGCCCGAATATACCACGTCATACCATACTAACATCTACATAGTAGGCGATCGGCTTTTACTTTTACAAAAATGTCAATTTTCATTGCGAATGATTTCAAAGTTATTGCGATGTAGTGCCATCTCGTGATATGTATTATTCCCGTCAAACCTATAACCATATCCCGACTGTCATATAAAAGAACGTATGGAAGTCGGGTGAACTCACACGCGTCTTCCTCGCACGCCCCCTACAATTGTCCTGTCTATCCTGCTTACTTCATTATGTTTTGGTATTGAGATCCACAAATTATAATCCTCATATTAAACATCTTTTATTCAAATAAAATTAACTATAATATACAGCTATTTTTTATTCTTTATTGCTTTTAACGTGCCGTAACGAAACGCAGGGCAGTATAGGGCGAGAAATATATTTATATATTATACATAAACAATAATTAATATATACATAACACATACATACATCCATACTTATAATCATAAATGTGAAAGTGTGTTTGTTTGTTTATTTATCTTTCTTTCACGTCGAAACGACTTGGCGGATAGGCTGGAGAGTGACATAGGCTACTTTTTATCACGGGAGATTATCTCTTTCCCACGGGAAAACACGTTACAATGCAATCCAAAAAATATTTATGATCAGAATTACTTGAAATTTGGTATAAATGCTCTTCAATACAATTAATTAAATACGAGTTTCAGCATTTTTCGAAATTTATCCCATAAGGGGGTATTATAGAGGATTAAAATTTGTATGAAATCTACCTTTTTAGAGTTTTTTTATAGTTTTAGCGCGAGCGAAGCCGCGGGTTCTGCTAGTAAAAGATAAATTATAAAAAAATATCAAATAATTACTTCTAGAACAGCAGTGGGCGGTGAAATCGCGACGCCTGGCTCGAGTCGACATAGCGGGGCGGCGTCGTGTCCTCGCAGAGTGAGAGTTACAGGGGAGGCGTTTGCCAGCAACACCACGGGGGAAAGTTGAAGCTCCAGCGAACACCCACCACCCGCTCGAATTGCACGGTATCGAATCTGGTAGATGTAGCATTTTATTTTAAAATCGTAAAACAATTGGCTAAAATGTTCGTCAAAATTAAAAATGTAAAGGAAATGAGAAAAAGATATGGCGCCTCATAGTTGTATTTGTGTTACTTCAATATATATATATATATATATATATATGTCAACTAAATTTTATACAAATTCGTTCAGCGATTTCTAGTCAGCCAATAGTAATCCGATTAAATGTAGGTATATGATAGTAATAAAAAAACTTTTACTTAACCAAATTCCAGTAATAAATATTATTTAAATATAGTACCGTGACGTCACACCGTGGCTGCAACAAAGCGGGCTGCCAAATGCCCGGCCAATGGTTTGTGACTATTGAGTACGGCCAGTGGGTTTTAGCTTCTCGTCCTGACTGGACCAACCTAAAATAAAATCTTTTATGTTACAGTCTTATATAAATCTCGTTCTGAAGTTAGCCGCAAATAACTTTACCGCAAATTTTGTAACAATATGTACATACATACGAACTGTTTGTTTATTCTTACCATTTTTGTATAACATCAACAATCTCTTCAATATTATTCACACTTGCGGGTTTGTCAAACACAGAGGTGTCAGTAACGCCATAGTGCAGTGGAACAGCCTCTCGGGTCACAGGGCATTCGATATTTCTGGAATAAAATTAGAACTGAATGGAAATGAATGGTCATTATACAATAAATTCGAAGTATACCGCCAATCACAAAATTCTTTTCCAATCAATCTTACTGTGCAATAACTTTTCTGTGCATACTTTTCCAATAAATCTTTTTCGAAGCAGTTCTATATGTATCTATATTTACCACGTAAATACACTAGGTACAATCAGAAAGTAATTAAGTAACACACAATATGTAGTCATACACAGTGTGTGTGTTTAACGACACTGCGTGTGTAACCGACGCGACGTGATAAAATTCGGTATACAGGCAGATCATATTTTGCATTAACCCGCGAACGGGGCCGAAGATTAAACTATTTACCTATAATGAGCTAAGCAATTTTGGGCCAACACGGTCAATATCACTGAACTATCCATATACGCAGGAGATAATATAATACACAAGTATGCGCACAAACACAATTTCCACCCTCATGTCTTTAACTCTCACATTCCGAAAGGACGACATCTGAACACTGATAACTTAACGTTCTCTGCCTAGACACTGGAGTGTCACTCCATTAACTTTCCAACTCTGGGCTGTTATGAAGACTTACTGAATCATAAAAACCCAACCACCATACTTGAGCAGATTTATCCGGAGGGCCGAAGAGACTTATATAAGGGTTATAATAGACACAATTTAAAGAAGGCAATCACGCAGCGAAACGAAGATGTAATCGGGAAAGACCAATTGGAAAGCTGGTTAGCTACACTAATAATACCATCATCCCACACAAAGAAGAGCTGAGAACGATTCATTCTTGCAGGTCCACTGCTCTTAAAGCTCTAAATATTAACCACGAGGGTTCATTTAGTCTAATCTATAATTTCACAAAGCTGTTTGAACGCAAGATTATAACCTTAATTAAAAAAAATGAAACTATAGCTTAAAAAATTAACGAACAAATGTTTGTGGTGTCAAAAAAAACACCACACTTGGCCCGACCCAGAGCTTGAACTCGGACCTGCAGCCGTGCTAGCCACTAGATCATCACTTACTTATACTGAAAGGTCAACATGTGCCGGGCCGCGGTAGTCCCCGGAGCTATGAGATGTGTGACGGCCCCGCGCCCGTTCGCCGTCTGCACTATTGGTCGCAAGTCACTCGTTTGAGGCGTTTGGACTCCTGTCTCTGATGATATCTGCACCTGTAGAGTTTGACTAGATTGTATTTGTATACCCGGAATACAATTTTATTGTAAAACTGCCCGAATATGGTCTTAGATGTGTAAAATATAGAACGGAGCTAACTATTTAGAATGCACATAGTTCGGGTTCTATATCTTTTTGTTAAATGTTTTCACATAAACATCATTAGCAAATAAAAAAAAACTTAATTTTCTTTGTTTCTAATAGGACTTTATTTTATAGCTTTGACAGCTTTATTAACTCGAGTACACAATAAAAGCAGTTTTTAGGTATGAACTCCAAACATATGCAAGCGAGTCCATGAAAAGCAGCCAGATTCTTATTTGTTAAATTTTTCTCAAGCAAGTAGAGTATTTTTTATCTTGTAAATATAAGAAATGAAAGATAGAAAAACATATTCATAATACATACGTCCAAAGGTAAATGTGATCGCAACACGTAGAAAGGCCATGTAGTAGCTATGATACTGTTGTCATGGCGAGCGCGGACCACGCGGCACCAAATAGATGTATACGACACTTCGCCTTCACTAGGCACTATAAACAGAGAATGATGAGAATGTGATCTATACTAATATTGTAAAGAGGCAGAGTTTTTTTGTTTGTTTGAACGCGCTAATCTCAGGAACTACTATGATTTAAAAAAATCTTGCATTAGATAGCCCATTTATTTAGGAAATCTATAGGCTATATAATATCATCAAGCTACTACGCAAGGAAACAGAGCAGTGAACATAAAGGTCAACAAATCAGGCAGACTTCAAAACATTATTGTAAAACCGATGTTTATAATCAAACAAATTTAAAGCGGGTGAAACCGCAGGGCACACGTAGTATTTTATAAACTTATTTAAAAGAGAATTAAATAACGAAAACAAAGAACTCGATCGAAAGTTGACATACAAGCAAGCAGTCGAAGATACTCGTATTGATGCCAATCGTGGTATATGTATATCTCCAACTGGCGATGGCCAAAATGAAGCCTAAAATCCGACATTGTGATTTTTTAATATTCCTAATATACGATATGAGAGTCGCGTTGATATACTAGAAAAGCAATATACCTTTAACGAGCCACGGCACGTTTTCCTTCCTACACTCTTTAAGCGGTATATCGCCTGACCATCCAGTCTCGTTTGATGTAAATTTTACTCTAAAATTAAATCAAAAATAATATTTATTATTACAATATAACAAAGTATATCGAAAATATCATAAATTTCAAGCATATCGTTACTTACTTAAGGACTGCTTCACATTCACAGTTACATATCACACTTAAGCCCACACTTTCCGCATGCAATTCTCCTGAACTAATTGTCTGCCACATGTTTTTCTCTGAACAACGAGCACGAACCTAAAATTAAAAACTTATATACTTTATACGTTATTTGAGCAGAGTATTAAATTAAAAATACTTTATAGAGGGTTATATATTTCATATTTCTATCTTCTGTAGAATAATAAAAGTAATAGGCAGCGTATATGTTAATTAAAAACTATTTGTACTACTACTACAAATTATAATATATGTACCTATATTGCATTTGCCATTGTTTGCATGATGTATTGTTGTAATCAATTATGTTACCTTATAAAATACTTTCTTATACTGACGCTAATATTTAACACTTTAAATTAAACTATCTTTTTGGATTTTATCGAGGACACATTAAAATTTTTAAATCCCGACTTTTCGTATGGTTTACAGAAATCATGGTCACGGACGAGACTAAAGTTTTAGATGTCTTAAAGGCACCTCACGTAAAAGATAGTTTTATTTAAGACTTACAGACCCCGCGGCTACGCTCGCGTTAAAACTACGAAAAATCTCTAGAAGGGTAGTTTCATACAAACTTTCACTCCCTGTTTTATCCCCTTATAGAATGAATTTCGAAAAATTCTAAAACACGTATTTATTAAATTTTATTAAACAGCATTAATACCAAGTTAGAAGTAACTCTGATCATAAATATTTTTTGGATTGTATTATAACGTGTTTTCCAGTGGGAATTAGATAATCTCCCGCGGTAAAATGTAGCCTATGTCACTCCGTCACTTGGTGGGCTGGATCCACCGACTACCTCCACACAAAAAATCACGCCAATCGGTCACTCCGTTTCGACGTGAAAGAATGACAAACAAACAAACACACTTTCACATGTATACAATTAGTATGGATATTTCCTTATTAAATATTCCTTATAAGAATGAGATTATAATTCCTTATAATATAAGCCAATCTCCTAATCAACTCACCTTATACAACAAGTTGTGCCGCAACATATTAGCCAGCACCAGCCTCCCAGAGAGGTACATATCTCGACGCGCGCCGCCATCACGAACACGCACGTGGACAAACATTCCACCGCCACTCGACATCTCGCCATCTTCTAATCGCACTCGATATTTACCTTCGGTAAATGGTATACCTGGGAACATAAACGGTACGCCCTTAATACTACCTTTATTATATTGTCACCGAGATATTGGTGTAATAATATAATTAGAGTTAGTAGTCTGTAAAACAGATAAAAATAGATCAATTATAATACTTTTTAAGCGTCTGTTCGTCACACGAAATTTTGTAATATACTATATGTGATTGGTTCGTCCCTAATTATAATCATTATTTTCATGACTACGATTTGGCCAACACAGGCTGGTAAAGCGGCTATTTACTATTTAGCGCATTTTACTCTGACTTGATTTGCAAATATTATGATTAAAAACTGAAAACTTTTTAAATCAAAACAAATCCGTCAGGGATAGTGTAGCTTTCTATTAGTGAAAGAATTTTTGGAATCGATTCAGTAGTTCCAGAGATTATTCCATACTATGAACAACGTTTACCTCTTTATTATAGATAGCGTAAACAAATATTTTTTTATAAATCAAAATAGAAATTAAATTAGGACATTTAGTGGTTCTAACTAGTGATAAATCTATGCGTACATTATACTTATAATATAATAGTTTATGTACATACTTGTCGACCAGTGCCAGTCAGCGGATGGACTAGCCAAGGCGAAACGTAGCTTCTTTGGTGCTGTTGGAGATCTCCATCTGTAAAAAATATTTTTTTATAATAATATAGAAAAAGATAATTGAAAGGCTTAGATTATGTAGCATTGTTTACAAATTTTTTTACAAATTATTTGAAAATAATTAAGCTACTATTGTGTTTACTAAAGAGCGATGTATTTATTAATTTGTTACTTTATAATTTACAACAGAGTGACATGTTTTATTTGACAAGTGTCAATCGGTGAGAGCTAGAGTGCAAAACATGTTACTTTGTTTATCCTTAATCTATAATATAAAAATGAATCGCTGAATGTGTTGCTAAGCGCAAATCTCGAGAGCAGCTGAACCGATTTCGCTAATTCTTTTTTTAGAATATTCCTTGAAGTACGAGGGTGGTTCTTACGGAGAGAAAAATTTAAAAAATTGCTTGAAAAAGTCTAAAAACAACACTTTTCTATACTCCCATACAAAAGATTCGTAATAATACTTAAAAGTCAATTTAAACTTAAATACCATACCATAAAGTTTAAGTGTTAGTGGAGAGGTTCCGGGACGGCAAAACAATTGAGTGACGTTAAGCTATCGTATAAATATTAATGTCAATATTTGTTAATATTATTAACAAAAAAAAAATTATATGACTAACGCTGGCTGATAACTATTTATATCTATTTAAAAGGTATCTAGCGACAAACCCGAGTGAAGCGACGGTGAGCCACTAGTATTTTATAAATTTAAACCTTTGATATAAAAATAATAATTAAAAAAAAACACGATCACTACATATACGCTAGTGATGCGGGATAAAACGTATAAGTTCATCAAAATCCTCCAAACTAATACATACACATAGTTCTATTGCTATGTTATTTTCAAATTTGATACTCCATTATTAGATATAATAGGTCCTTACATCAAATTAAATAATAATAGAGACACAATGTCATAGAACTAAACAAGAAATCAAACAATGATGTTTTGAAATAATATTTAGTATTTAAAAACAGTATACAAATAACAATTTGTATACTGACTGATAAGTTATTAAATGTTAATCAACAAAAATAGCTAACGTATTTTATTATAATATAGAAAAAATATATAAGCTAATTAATTACAAAGAGATCTAATGCTTAAAAATACTAAAGAATATAATATTCATATTATGGAGAATGAGAGATGGGAATAACTCTAAAACCTTCTATAATTTAATTAATACATTAATATAAAATTTCATTTATTCTTTAAAGAAAGTAAACGATTTGTATGGCAAAATCGAGAATATCGAGCATGAACAGAAAAACATGCCGCTATTTTTGAATTTGACATTTATTTTGGAGGACTTCGTCTCTAGTTATCTTTACATTTGAGTATGACCATATTATTTATTTTATTACAACTGCATTTTAACCTGCTTTACAACACTGTCTCCACTAACATAGGATGACTGGAAGAGATCTCTTCTACAGATACATCCAACTTTGTAAACTTTTATTGTTTGTTAATATCTGTATTTCATTTGAGTATATATGTAGTTAATTTGACAAATACACACATACAAAAAAACCTTATTCTTTAAATAAAGTAAGCGATCTGTGTGGTACAATCGCGAATAGTAGCATAAACTGCAAAACACGCTACTATTTTTGACTTCGACATTTATTTTGGTGGACAGATTAAATTCTTTATCTTGAGGTCGTTACCTATACGCAAGAGAAGCCCCAGCACTGAAAGGTATCAGCTCTTCAGTGCCCTCCTGTCCAATGCGCAGGGCGCCCGCGCACTCGTTGTGCACCCAAAGCGATACGCGCCCGCACAGCGCTGTCGCCGCGTCTACCATTTCAGCCTTCTCTATGTTCTGTGTACCACTTTTAAGTTCACGTGAATACTGGAAGGATTATTAAATTATATATATATCTTCATCAAAATTGGACACATTTAATATTTTTATTAATAAGCTTGACTTGATAAAGTACTGTTAAATTTAAAGAAAAAAAGTATAACTTCTAACTTTAACTTATTTGTGTCACAAATCCATAATTATAACGTACGCTTTCAACATCACTAAATAAGAATTCCAATAAAAGACAAAAATAAATATCATTATTACAAAGAAAATCATACTAATACAATAAAAAGTGCACACTAAAGAAATTACTTTTGCTTTGAACGGAAACAAACTCGTAACCTTATAAGCACAAGTCCAATCCCCCAGTAGAGACCGCAAAGTGCTCACACGCGGCACGTGCAGGGCCACGCGCACGTCGCCCACGCGCGCCCGCACCCGCGGCTCGGGGAACAGGGACAGACTGCTTTGTATACGGAACTCTTCTATAAGTTGCTCCATTGTACCCGTCGCGCTGTCTATTATGTCGCTCCTGGTGGGTTTTGATTAGATTAGTATTATATATGTGATCGTTTGTGTGTATGTGTGTTTGGTTACGCTGAAAAGGCTGAACAGATTTAACTGAAATTTGATACACCACTAGATTATAACTCGTATTTATTACTCGTAGTCTAAAGTTTCACTCATGGAAAATTGTTATTATACAAACCCGAGCGGAGCGAGAGTAAGCTAACTTACAATATACTGTATGATTCTTTTGCTTTTTACATAATATTTTTGGGTCCACGTTATACCGCTTATATCGAGGAGTACAAGCTGTGTATATATTTAAAATACTTTCTTAGATTTACATGAAAATGTGATATTTTAAATAACACGACGACAGCGTTTTGAATGCTTTACAGCAATCATGGTCACGGGAGATATTAAGGTTTTAGATGTCTAAAATTAAAGTAATTACTAGCGACTCACCCTCGATTCATTCGGGTTCGTCCCTAGCTTGCTTCCAAATACAAACTTTCATCACCATTTTCACCCTCTTAAGGGATGATTTCCGGGATAAAAAGAATCCTATGTCCTTCCCAGAGTCTCAAACTATTTTTCTTACCATTTCATCTAAATCGGTTCAGTAAATCCAGAGATTACCCCTTACAACGTCACAAACTCATACAATTTACCTCTTTATAATATTATTAGTATAGATATCATTGCTGTACAGCATTCGAAACGTCAGGAGCCTAAAATCAAAATATAACCGCGAAAAAATCCATAAAGATAGTTTTACTTGGATTGTGTAAATAAAAATAAAGGGTATACATACGACAAATGAGTGTCCAATAGTAGTCTTGTGGACGCGGCCACCACGCAGTGCACGGCGGAGTCCCGCACACGCAGAGTCAACACTCTGTGACTGCGCATTAGTGGGCGGGATACGTAGTAGCCCTCTAGAGTTGTTGTTTGTCTGTACATGTAATATAATATATAGAATTAACTAACAGTTTAAATGTAGACAATAAAGATAAGCGAATGCGACGTCTAGCAAAAAAATATTTAAATACTTTTAACACAATCGCATGCGACTAAATTTTGGACGTTGTGTAAGAGCAAGGAAGGTCCATTAAAGACAAAAAAAATGATAAAAAATAATATGAAGAATTCCAAACCATCAACAATAAGTGATCTTAGCAAATTCAAAAAAAATGTTAAAGAACGTTTGTGTGCTAAAGGCTATTATACAATAAATGATTTTATACAAGATGGCACGCCTTGGGAATGAAATGATCGCCTCGAGGCTACTTCAACTTGACAGAAGTATTGTAAATTATAATTTAACTTTAAAAAAAGATAACGAATTAATATTAGTCCCGATGAGTTTCTTTCGCCAGTTCTTCTCAGTCTGAGGGTTCTTCTTTCCGAACTGATAGTACTCATGATATTGAGTAAAAAATTGTAATAATTGAATGCTGAATAAAATATGTTGAATTTGACTTTGAAACAAACCAACTCACTTAGATAGAACAGGTAAGGAGTTGTGTGCATGTATCTCTAGAACAGCCATCCGCAACGCCAGGCGAGCTCTGGGCATGAGACGAGGGGCGAAGTAGGAGTCCACTCGTAGCACGCCCGATAGCTGTTCCGCTGTCACATTACAGCATTTCTTGTAATAGTCACTGGGAATTGTTGGTTCGGTCGACTGGAGAAAATTGTAGTGTTGCCATTAGATATGGCTAGAAATTATATTATTATTCTTAATTCTATAGTGTTATTAGTTCGCGCCTGCGGCTCTGTTCGCGTTGTTGGGGCGTCATTAAAATGTAGCGCAAACCATGTCATAAGCTATCTCTATTCCATATTTCACTCAAATCAGTCAATCATTACAAATTAAAATTAAAGCAAATATACTAATTCATATACTTTTGCATTTTAATTTAAATTTTAGTGTTAAATGCACATACGAATGAGATTCAAATAAAAAAGATGTTGCTTACTAAAGGATCTTGTCTGGGCATAAACTTTCTGGAATCGAATTCAAAGGCGAGATTTTCTTGTTCCACGTCAGAGCAAACTCGAATACGCCACATCGAGGCGAATACCGAATCTAAAAAAAATAGTATTTAAAAAAAAAGTTCTTTCAGCTACTGTTTTACCTTTGAGAAACTTAACTAGTTATTATAGAATATATTATATATTAGAATATGTCAAATAAGAAAAATATATTTCTAAATATGTATAAATCGCTCAATTTAGATAAAAACTACCAATAATATAATAAATTTTTTATATAGACTCACCATGTGGCACCAAATTAAGTTGCATTTCACGCGGATCAGACACCGGTAACTTGAAGTACGTATGAGGCTCCCACCGAGCAAGCATCGGGCAGTACAATTCTAAAGCACATTCTACTTCCTCGTCCTTTAGAAAATATCAAAATAAATTATAAATACTACGGTTTATATATTTAAAGTATATTAATATTACAATATAACAATCAAATTTATAAACATTTTATAATATTAAATTAACAATTCTTGTCTTGTCTTGTTATATATATAAATTTATTTCACGTATTTTGGAAAAATCTCAAACGATTTCGATCAAATTTTGTATTTAGGGTATTTTGTATGTAAGGTTTTGTCTTTTATAGGTGTCTTTTCTGAAGAGAAAAAAAAACACAATTTTTATGTCTTATCTGAAAAAACGCCGATCAAAGCTGGGTTGCCCGGGTACTTAAAATAATTGTATTGAATTTGCATTTCCCCAAACTTAATACGCGCAAAATAGTAATAATAAATTAATTAATAACTGCAAAGACCATTTTTCACAAAAGAATATATTAATAAACAAACCTGTCCAGGAATAGGGTAAGCAATAAGTCTAGTAATGGCACGGGGATGAGGGTATCGCCACGAAACAGAGTTCCCGTGCAACGTCACCTGATACGCCATGGGCAGCTGACAACCCGAAACTATCTTAAAAGCACCGCTCCTATTATATTGGAAATATTAATTTAATTTAAAAATTAACATAATATTAGTTATAGATAAACTTTGAGAATCTCTGTCTCTAAATGTCAAGTATGTAAATGTTTTATTATGGCAGAAATGTCAAAATCACTACCAAAACAGCAGTGTTCTAGTATACAAAGTAAAAAAGAGATACGCAAATCCTCCATTATAAACTGAAATACACAGGTAACCAAACGTACACCGTGAATCTTAAAAACGGTTGTTCGTATGAAAAGTTGTCTAAAACAAAATTTGTAGAAAATTTTATGTACTACAATTTCTGTAATAACATTAAATGTCATTTTGAGTGAAGAATTCTATTAAGACTTTGACCGGATTTATAAAATGAAATCAAAGGTATGATTATTTCCAAAAACTAAGTACATTATAATATATAATTTGGTCTATGGATATTTAGAACAAACCTCAAATCATCTTTGTAATAATGATGTGTAGGATCACTCGTATCTGAAGAACTGCATTGTTTGGTGAAAAATGAAGTTGTGTTTGAAACTCCACTGGACTGCGTGTTCATATATTCTGTACTTGAATCTGGAGTTTCAGGCGTAGGCATAATCTGGATAAATAATCAAGTAGGCATAAACATGAAGGGTTTCGTACCATTATCTATAAAAATAGCAAAAAAATCACGTTTGTTGTATGGGAGCCCCCTTAAATACTTATTTTATTCTATTGTTTTGTATTTGTTGTTATAGCGACAACAGAAATACATCATCTGTGAACATTTCAACTGTTTAACTATCACGGTTCATGAGATACAGCCTGGTCACAGACGGATAGACAGACGGACGGACAGCGGAGTCTTATTAATAGGGTCCCGTTTTACCCTTTGGGTACGGAACCCTAATAAACTACTCTTAAATACTCTGTTGTGAACGCAGAGCTGAACCATCCTCAAGACGTGCGGTTTCTCGATAACCAATCACAGCGCGAGGACCTTGGGCCCCCATCAGCTGCTGGCATACCTCGATAAGCTATCTTTCTCGCACCTATGGCTACGCACAAGACTGTTTTTGTAGTACTAATTTGTAAACTTTATTGACGTCTGGGAATGGTTTATAACCGGTAAATTCGTCTGGCGATTTTCAAGTATTATTGAAAATTACTCAATAAATACGTGATTAAAATTTTCAGATTGCCAAAAAAATATTTTTGGGAATAAAAAAGAGAGATCTGGCAAATACTTTATAACCGACAAAAACGTCTGGGGTTCTTTTTTTTGAATTATATGAAAAGTAAATTAAAAGATTAAACAAAAATCAAGTTGCCAAAAATGTTTTTTTTTTTTATATTTATTTTTACAAATGTTATATACTGCGCAGTAACGAAATAACCGCTAAAGCTATACCAGACTCGCGGAACTGGACTCGCCAATTCACGAAATTATATTTTTTCACAATTTCAACTTGTATACGGAATACTACAGGCTCGCTCTCACTTCGCTCGTGTTCGCTTCTAGAAAAACACAAGCAAATCTATCCCACGGGAACCGTACATTTTTACGGGATAAAAACTAGCCTCTGTGTTATTCCAGACTATAATCTATCTCTGTGCCAAATTTCTTCTAGATCCGTTCAGCCGTTCTGGCGTGAAAAAGTAACAAACATCCATACTCACAAACTTTCACATTTGTAATACCAATATTTTATATAGTTAAAAGTAACAACACTCACGTCCCCCAATCCAAAAGTATCTTTGAGTAAATTTTGTATTTTAACAAGGGCGACCAAGTCACAAGGCCGTAAGTCAAGTATCACGTGGTCGAGGTCAAGCCCCACTCGCACTGTTGGCTCTCGCGCGGACAGACCGCTTTCCGCTCTCCTCCACGCCTCCCATGTTGCGTCAATAATACCACTGGTTTACACAAAAAGGTTTTTTAAGTTACTATAAGCAAATTAATAAGTACATTGCTTTTTTTGGAACGAAGTTCCTTATGGGACGATGCGCAGGGGTACGCTAGCCGGTAAAAAACGTCCGTAACGAAAATGCGTAGAGTAAGATTTTTATGTATAGTTGATGTGTGTTCGCTATATAGTGTCTAATGTATAGTCTACGTAATGACTGATATTATTATTATTATTATATATTTTTATGAATCATTGTGAATAAAATAAAAGTGGTAAGATAATTTTGTTAAGTAGTTTTTGATTTTTATTTTTATCGATTTTATGAATCATTGTGAATAAAATAAGGAAGTTCGTAAGATAATTTTGTTAATTATGATTCTGTCTATAACACAATAAGTTCTAAAGTAATTTACAATTTTTTTTTACACACTGACTAGAACTTGAAATTAATATTTATGTAATAAGGAACTTCGTTCCTATCTGATGTTCCTCGACACCACACGTTTATTTTAATCGTGATGTAGTGTATCTGATAAGCTTTAATTTTCATTTATCTATAACACTTTTAAATTAAGTTCTAAAGTAATTTACAATAATAACTATTTTTATACAAATTTAATTTAAAACTACACTGATAGAAATTTCATTTAAAGACGAGTATATACATTTAAGGTACAACAAAAAAAGTCGAAACCTAATCTAAATAAAATACAGTTTCTGTATAATCTACGTTATCAGACAATTCATGTTGATCGCTCTGTATAAAGTTTATTTATAAGTCACGTGATGTAGTGTATCTGATAAGTTTTAATTTAATATTACCATTTATTTATTTTTTATTAAGGCTTATTAACAAAATCACGCACCTTAAAAAGTTCAGGTTGTACGCACTCGGAAAAACAGACGCAGGCAGGGCATTCCATTTCATGGCTGTGCGCATTATAAAAGATGATGAATAGCGCTTAGTGCGAGTGGTCGGAATATCAACCAAAAAAAAGGATGGTATCCTGCAGTACGTCTGGTGTCCCGATGGAAGAATGGCGCTGGCGGTATGAGACCATGGAGCTCATGGGCACACTCCCCGAAGTACAGTCTGTAGAAAACCGACAGACAAGCCACCTGACGACGGTGTCCTAAGCTGTGAAGCTTAGTTTTTATATGTTTTGCTCTTATCTTACCCCATCATGGCCGGTTGCAACACAACATGTCGCCTGTCACTGGTCGGGCCGGCGGATACGGAGACTGCAGTAAGCAACGCTCGACAGTTGACGCGGTCGGGACGCAAACCAGCGGCCGACTGCACCAACAGCCCCTCCCACCCCAACGCCCCCTCAGATCCTCTTACTCCGATTTGATTTGTTTGTATTGTGATGCTTTCTATTTGATTTTTTACTGTTATTTAAAAAAAATAAGTTAGATCATACAAGCGTTGGTTGTAAAAACAAAAAAAAAATAGTGTGTTCTTATTAAATAACTCTATATATTAAGTTAATAAACTAATTTGTATGTACATATATAATACGAACCCATTGAACGCTTTATTTTATATAGAAGTGGTGTTGGTCTATCCATGTTTCCCGCAATATTTACTTCTGGTTTTGAGATATTTTTGTTGATCTATATATTGGAAAAAAAAACAAAATATTATTAATTTATTGAAGCTTCATAAATTAAAACAACTGTATTGAGTTCTGAATATTTACCAAAGCCATTATTCCTTTAAGCCTTCGTAGTCTATCCATACAAACTTCAAATAAAACAGGTCTCTCTATGTCCAGTTGTACTGTACCCAGACCACTCGAACCACTCATAGGCACGTATCCTAACAAAATATATATTTATTAAGTAACCGTAATAGAAGCATAATCTGAGTATAGCGCATAGACAGTAGTATGTAAGTATTCCATTTTCTTTTTTGTTTGGAATTGCGAAAGCAGGCGAAAAATATTTTACCTCCACGAACAGAAAATTTCGCTTTTATGTAAATGTAAAGAACTTTAATACATTATGAAATTCGTCAAATCAAATGAATCTGAACATAAAGATTTTACAAGAAAACACTGAATCCAATAAATCCATACTAATATTATAAATGTGACAGTGTTTGTTTGTTTGTCCTTCTTTCATGTTGAAACAGTGAGGGTTGGAGGGATTTTTTATGTGGAGATAAATGAAGGGCTGGATAGAGAGTACTAACACAACAACTCATCATGCCTATTTATATATACTATATAGTATATTTATTTCCTACTAACCGCTAAAACGTACCTAGTAAATAAAAAATGAAAACAACCTTGTTAAAAACAACAAAACAAGCAACCTGTAGACAAATCAATTCTCAAAGTGGCCAACGCTGGTGGTATGTCTGTGACGGGGTCGGGAGTACCCCGTGTAGTACTGAATAGGGGCGCGTTCCAATGACCCTCGCCTAAACCGACGCCAAGACCGATCCAAGCGTTAAATAGTGACACCTAGAAAATAAGTATAGTATCTAATTAAGATCCAGACATTAAAAAGTGATATCTGGAAATCAAAAATAGTAGCTTATTAAGTCCAATCAAGGATTCATCTTTTGGCAGTTATTTTAAGGACTGGGGTTTTTTCTTGACTGGTGGTGGTAACTGGTAGTAGACTCATACTGCATAGATTTTTTTAATTTTAATTCTTGTGAAATATTGTATTGTAAATTATATTTTTTTTAAATTACAACTCAACCTTACAAATGTTTACAGTTAATTTCTAAATAATTAATAATTAAATTGTAACAAAGTGTACATAAATATTTCAAACCTAAGTTTGTAATATGATTATACATTATACCTGAAACGTTTTCTGTTTTTTTCTCTTCCAATAATATAAATTAGGTTGATGTAACGTAGCATGTAGTAATGCCACGTTGCCTTCGGTCTTCCTTGCGAGTGGCAAAACTTGCTATAATATAAATACAACAATAGTTAAAAATGTATAAATTTACATATCAATATCAGAAGAATGTAAGAAATGCAAGAAAGAAGAACTGTAATTCTTACCAATTGTTCCAATTTAGTTTTTCCAATATCAACATTTCGTATTGTCTCTGTCAGACTTCTGCTTGCTGTCATCGAATCTTTTCCATCGTCCTTGTTTTCTTTACTTTCATCTATTATAACCTGCAATATGAACAAAATTAGTTAGTAATTTAAATCGGTATTTGAATTTTCCAAGAAGAAAAGCTGACATGTAAATTCACTAAATGTTTAATGCATATTTTTAGTGTTTAAACGATAGAACCAACTATTACGTATTCTTGTATTAAGTCTCATACATCGTAATAACTAACACAAATAAAAGGAAAATATCATTTTGTTGCATTCAAGTTAATGATAAGCCACAACATTCATAATTGTAATACTCGTATATAGAGCTTTACATAGTCACCTTTATCTTAGGCTCTGAAGCTACTTTATATATGCCTGGTGGAGGCTTTAACTGTTGCACTTCTGGAGAGTTATCATCGCCCACGTACAACGAGAGATCGATTACTCCCATTGTTATGAATACCTCTAAATAATCTGAAGCTTTTGCTCTAAAAAAATAATATCATTGAATAAGTTTGTAACATTTATAAGAAATTATTTTTTTGGGTAATTTTTGCGTCTTCATAGTCACAATACTTACTTATTACTTTATAACACAAATCGCAGTACATTTTTGGTAACATATTAGGGAGGGATTAAGAAGTGAGAGTATTCTTATTTATTGTATCTAAGTATAATAATATAAATATTTATGTATCTTAATTGACTTCAATACATACTCATCATGATAACTCACGTATAATCAACACAGACGATGGACACAGATTTCTTTATCGGCGCCGAATCACGACGTACTTTGAAGGTGGACTGAGATGTTGCCGTTTCAACTCCTGAGTCGAACATCAAATTGCGATTCATCTCTATGGTCGCTTTTTGGGCTTCTGACGGAATACAATTAAAAAATAACATTCAATAAAGTAATAAATACTTAATAACTTTTAATTTCTTAATTCTGTATATCGGATTACTTTAATTACTATAAATACGAAAGTTTGTATGTATGTGTATTTACTCCTTCACTTTAAAATAACTGGACGGATTTGGATGTACACAGATAAACTATAAAAAACAGTGGTAGCCCAGTGGTAACGCGCTCGCTTGGGAAACCGAGTAAAATCCCGTTCAAATCCCGGCTCTCGCACCACTGATATTTTCATGTGCGAATCATTTCTAACATGATTACCACTTGCCTTACGGTGAAGGAAAACTGTATAAGGAAACCTGCATGTCTGAGAAAACCTAGCAAGTTTTCGAAAGACATGTGAAATCCGCCAACCCGCTCTTGGTCAGCGTGGTGGACTATGGCCTGATCTCCCTCGTATTGAAGGGAAGTCCGTGCCCAGCAGTGGGACGTTAAAAACGGCTGAATAGATAGATAGACAGATGATGAAGATGTCCTGGAGTAACAAATAAAGCACTTTTAAACTTCGACAGCGGCTTTGTACAATATTTTTATACTAACTCTACTTTTAGAAATCGTACCGATGGTATATTTATAACAACTGATATGAGCACCACAAGCTTTTAACACAATAATATTATTGTATCGTCATCGGTTCTTGTTACATGTGCAAAGTTTCAGTTGAATCTGAGTTTTGAAGTGGGTGAAAATCGCATTCACAGATTTCGTTATCAATATACAGGTGGAACTAATAAAAGCGTGTTAAAACTGTTGTCTCTTTACACTGGTTGTAGTATAAAAATATTAAAATTTCGTACCTTCATTTATAGTGGTCTCGCTTTCAGTTGGAGATGGATCTGGTATATCTTGATTGCTGAGAAGAGCTGCGTAAGGGCATGTTACGTCTTCCTCGAGGAGGAATGAACTTTCAGGTCTGAAATATGAAATTTCTTATTGTGTGAAATTAATATTAAAAAAAAATAAAGATAGAGAAACCTTATCCTTCATTTTGCTAAAAAAACTTATCATGGGTTTGCAGTACAGACTGAATAACTACCGTGCTAAAACTGGATAAGCAATATCATTTGAAATTGTAAGGATATAATTTGTCCAATTGACCGTAAAAAATATAAAACATATGTAATTGGCACTGACTACTGCTTTACAGGTCACAAGTTCGATTTCTTTCCAAAATGAATACTCTGTATAATAGGTAAATAGGTAATAACCAGTATACTACCATTTCTTTTAATTAAACTTAAATGAAGTTATCAATTACATTCATTCAACATATGTACTCACCTGTACCGAAACACGTACAGAAGACTCGATGTGAGCGACTGTACCAGTTGCAGTCGCTCCACTGCAAGTTCAAGCGAGCAGTCGGAGAGAAGGTTCAGTTCGATTGCTGGTCCACTTGCGACTGCACCGCAACTGTATATCGCTGGTGCTAGGATACAACCTACGTCCACCCTATGAGAACAGTTATGGTTTTAAAAAAAACATACACACTTTTGACCAACTATATATAATGTAAAAAGAAGGCTTATATATTTTAAGTATGATTTTTATGTATGGCATATAATGTATGGGACTTGTCAAGACGCAATAAATGATGCAAAGTTACAGGAAGGTTTTTTGCCATTCAAGAGTTCCACTACCACTTTCTGGTTCCATCACCGCCATATGTATAAATTTTTGTATGTAAGTATTGTTTATGTTATTGGAAAAAGAAAAAAATCATTAAAATCCATTTATAGGCGAATTAATTTATACCATACACAGAAACATACTTTAAATATAAGCCTCCTTTTTATTGTCTTCAATTATATATTGTTATTAGCTAAATTATACTTACGGATGTAGTACAGGAGTTATGATTGGGGAGACTACCGGCTGACTCCATTTTAGAGCCGGATTTTCTCCTCCAGTACCTTTCAATATTTCAGATTCTGTTACCTATAAAAACATATTATATCAATACATATAAAAGCTGTACATATATTTATGTATTTTAAATTATTAATATCATAAATACGAAAGTATTTAAATTCGAAATAGACATGAATTTATGTACTGAAATATACAACACCTTAAAATGATGCCCCAAACGCTACTGTTGAAATATTAAAAAATAAATGTGAATCACATATATTAAAACTTCTGTTATTTCTTCTTCAAATGATAAACAATACTTATACACACCAAAACACTACAACTTTGGTCAATATCACACAACCGACAAACACCACATTATATACACTATCCTATATAAGTATATATATAAATGTATATTGCATAGCTATAAAAAAAACTTATTATATAAAGAAAAAAGTTTACCTCCTCACTAACAAGTTGACTGAACTGCGCAGATCTTATCGATATCTGACTCGCTAGCACTTCGTACTGTTGACCTTCAAGCCCCGTACCGGAGCTGGTCCACGTCGACTCTGCAGTTGCGTTAACTGACTGCCTGTATAAGAAAATGATATTTATATTATTTTACAACATGTATATAAATAAAAATTAATGTTTCTATTTTTGTCCTCTATTCGTTTTTAAACTATTCCTCCGATTGTGATAAAACTTTAGTAGGGTCTTCTGAGGACGCCCACGAGGGTTTCTGACCCATAAAAGAAATTTAACTTTATATGTTTTTCCTCTATGCATTCCTAAAACATTACTCCTTTAGAACTTCAGTTCTTTATAAAATTATGAGGTCTTATGAAAATTGGTAGGGTGAGCGTATGTTAACCTTAACCTGATTCTAATATTAACTTTCGTTTTTGTTTTAACAACTCAAAATTATTCGTTTCGTTAACTATAGCGCAATGTACGGCGATAACACGAGTAAGTAAATTGGTGCTTAAAATACTGAATATGCATAATAATCTAATATTAATATTTCCAATTAATTTAAAACTTACCTGCAAATAGGGTTTTCCGGATGTGGATTAACGGTGACTTTACCGACCTGAAAGTATATTTTTTTAATCTTATTATAAATGATGATTTGTAAGTTAATTATTGAATTTTTAGTACTACCAAGAGATTCAAATAAAATTATATAAAAAAAAGAAACTTACGACTAGCATGAGGGTATCATCGCTTGCGCTTTCTTTTTCTTCACCGTTCGTGAGCAGTAACCTCAGACCGCCGGCGACAACGTACAGGAATGGCCACTGCCATTGGGTCGGTCTGGCAAATAATAGAATATATAATTAGCAATTGATCAGATAAGCTTCATATATGTCTTAAAGTATATAACCATAGCCAATAACTTTGCCTTAAAGTGTAACCATAATGATAATAGTTGTTAAACACGGAACGTTGTATGGAAATTAAGTTAAAGCGTTTCGTAGTATGAGTGAATGTTATTCTAAAATGAGATACTCAGACCTATAAGAAAGCTGTATAAAAATTATACTCGTGTTTATATATTGGCCATAAAATATACATATTATTGTAATGCAAGTCACCAATTTATTCTGTAACAGTTTTTTGGGAACGAATAATAAATCAACACACACAATGAATAACATTGAATTTGAACTTTAAATATAGTATGATAAATTAACCTCAATTAGAATGACAATGTTGTTCCTTGCAGGTGGCCACTTTCAATATAATATAGTTAGCATAAAACCTGGTCTCCTCAGTGTTAAGTGAACAGAAGGCTTGAGGCGTCAACTCGTGCAGCCATGACACTGCGTGGTCCAGTATATCTGGTTGTAGCACTGCCTCTAGTGGCGCTAGTGTCGCGTACACTTCCCACATACTATCCACGTTCTGAGAAGTATGATTTGTTTTACATTCATTTCTTATTTGATGTGTTTTATTACATATTTTTAAATGTGTCATATACATTACGATTGAAATATTATGAAGTAAAAAGGTACTTCATATGTTTTTCATTGTCAAGTCATAAATGTAACAATACATTTTTAAAACATTTTTGTTTCCAAACAAATACTTACAGTATTCTGCTCTAATAATTTTGAATAGAGTTCTTTCCAACTGGCAGGTAAATTTGATATCCTGTGAAAAGTATCATCATATAATAATAATTTTCTTTATTCTTGTTCCTAAAAGCTTATTTAGATTACATTCTTTAAAAGATACGTGAGATACAATTATGTTTACCATCTACTTTTAAATATGGATCTACCCTCCATACTTTTAAAGCAAAGAGTTTATACTAATATAAAAAATTGATAAAGTTTTTGAATCAATGCACTGCCAACATACGTGATTATATCACGTAAGTATTTATATTAAAACAAATATATAAACAACTATATTCATATGCTAACTACATTTATACCTCGCTTGTGTGACAGTGATAGCGAGGAAATGATTCTCTTCCTTTGCGTTAGCCGGTTCTCGTACTTCTAGTATACGACCGCCCAGCGCGCCTGGAGACCATTCACCGCTGCCCGTGCTATGGAATCAAATAAAACATATATTATAACATATTTGCTTTAGTTTTCAGAAATTTGTTTAAAAACCTATTTACTTTACACAGAAAAATGTAAAAAAGCACTCCTCAACAAAAAAACGACTGACAAAAGAAATATTATAAAGCGGAAAAGACCGTCTTAATCTCAATAACTAAGCTTAACTAATTTAAGTAATAAAAGAACACCTTATAAAATCTAACAACTATTATAAATGCGAAAGTTTGCATAAGTGTGTGTATGTCTGATACTCCTTCACGCTGATACGGCACATCCGAGTGAAGAGAGTTAAAAGACGAAAGAAAGATTAAAAGACAAAAATGATACTTTCTTAGATTTACGCGAATATTTGACATTTTAAATCAAACTATCTTTTCGGATTATTTCGCGGATTTATTTTCTGTAAGAAGTATTTGTTTGAGACGTCTATAACCTTAGTCTCTCCCGTGACCATGATTGCTGTAAAGCATTCGAAACGTCGGGAACCAAAAATCAAAATAAATCCACGAAATAATCCGAAAAGATAGTTTTATTTGAAAAGACAAAAATGACTAAAAGACTTCCTCGTGTAAGTCCTAACTGAGCGTAAGAGAAGTTAACACTTCCTAGTGTTTATATCAACCTACCGTTTATAATGCTTGACAGATGCCGATGCAACTTTGACCTTCAATTGATTGTAATGGTTCTGCAAGTCCACTGTAGTGATTATATCGTCTACATCGAATGCTACCTTCACTTGAGGCGACGTTACTATTAAAGTCGCCCTACTCACCACCCATTGGAACCAGAAGAACGTTTTTAGTTTTGTGTCTGAAATTATAATAAAATATTAATATTTTAATAATATAATATAATTAATGTCAGCCTTTATTAATATCGCCAAAAAAGTAAAAGTGATATAAAAACAATAAATTAGGTATAAAGAAAATTGTGGCAATAGTTACATCCATATTTTGTTTATATGAATATGAGTATTTATTCCATCAATAAACATTGAAGCAATAGGACTTTAAATCTTAGAAACATACCTTTGATTTATACACGTAAAAGTTTCTATTTAATTAGTTAAAAATATGGATCAGTAATAAAACTTCATGGCAGTGGTAACCCAGTAGTAACATGCTCACTTGGGAAACCGAGTGAAGCGAGTTCAAATCCCGGATCTCGCACCTCTGATATTTTCATGAGCGGATCATTTCCAACATGATAACCACTTGTCTTAACGGTGAAAGAAAACATCGTGAGGAAACCTGCATGTATGAGAGAACCTAGCAAGTTTTCAAAAAACATGTGAAGTCCGCCAACCCGCACTTGGCCAGCACCACGCTGGCTACGGCCTGATTCGTCTCGTACTGAAGGGAGGCCCACGCCCAGCAGTGGGACGTTAAAAAGGGATGAATACAATAAAACTTTTGATTTTTGAAACGCGTCCTAAAAAGCAAACATGCTATAGCTAAATCTCTATAAATGTTTATAAGATATATAGATACCTAATTCAAGAGCATGATCTGCTTCAAAAATGCTAATTAGTTGTTCTGAATGATTTTCACTTGGTGTCTCTTCTGATAGACTTTGCCTTGCTTCTAGTTCCGACACTGACCTATGAAAGTGAATATTAAAAAAAATTTTAACTTAACTTTTTTTATTTTTAATGAATCCATCATACGTGAAAAAGTACATATTGTATTGAAAATTAATATTTCAACAGGCAGAAAACTCGAAGGTTTAATGTTCCGAACTCCGATATAATTTTTGAGTACGAAACTCTCATATCTATGTTCTATCAATAATATAGCTTCGAGGGGTTTGCTATGGTTCGACAATCATTTTTACAGAATGGCAATGAAGGCAAAAATGAGATTGCGAATTAAATGATCTTTTGACGTTGTAAATGCTAATTACGTTGAAAAATATATAAATTACGTATGAATCCTGAGATATAGACAGAACGATGTGTGGTCCAAAGTGAAATAAACTTTAAGATGACATTATATCATATTTTTTTCTTGAAAACTTTATCAGTTTATTTCACATTAAAGGTAACATTAGTCGATATTTATATAAAGCTGCAAGTTAGTGAAAGATCAGCCATTCCTTTGACGTTTTATTAAATGCATGTATGCATGCATTTACTAAACGTATATATAAATATAATATTATTATATTAATATAATATTTATAAATAGAATACGTGCATTTACTACTTTTATATCCGATTATCCTTTTAAAAAAAAAACAGAGTCGGTCCAACGTTACCCAGAACGAGGGTAATCTATACATATAATAAAATTGCAACTAAGCCGAATCTGTGCATTAAATATTTTTTGGAAAATCTTATTGAAATAAACATTATTATCAATACAAAGGCCGAATCTATAGTTTTTGGACTTTTTGTCTGTCTGTCTGTTACCGTATCACAGAAAAACCCCTGGAGGGATTTTGATGAAATTTGATATGGTGATAGCAGGTTATCCGAGTCAACATATAGGATACTTTTTACCGCGGGAAAATACCTCATTTCGGAGAAAAAATACAAAAACTGCAATGTATACTAATATGTAAAACCTAATAATTTGGTTTTTGGTCACCTGAACGCGGGCGAAGCCGCATGCAATGCTAGTTTAAAATATATTTTAACGCTTATGATATAGTCATAATTACCTCACAAGTGATCTATGAGAGCTACCAAAGGAAGAGAACGTTTGTTTCGGTGTTACAGGCGGCCGTCGAAGAAGGTTTAATACATGGTTGAAGCAGTGTATTGCGATGGCTACCGTTTGCACCTAGCAAAAAAATTAATTTGTTATCATAATATTATAAATAAAAAAGTTTGTATAAGTGTGTGTATGTTTGTTACGCTTTAGCGGCTGGACGGATATGGATAAAATGTAGTGCTCACATAGACAATGACTTGGCGACCTGGAAAGTGCGCAGCGGTAAGTCGTATAATAAATGTAAACTAAATTCAATGACTATTACAATAAAGGCCCTTGATACGTTTTCCACATGAGATTTCAATTAACAACCAAATGTTTTCTATTAATCATATGATTAAGAAAAATCGTCATTTTCTTATATTAAAACTTAAAACATGTAATATATATGTGACCTTAAAATACGTGTGTAACCACTTTTCATTGTCACTTTCTTGACACTTGTACCTTTATTGAAGTTTGTTATGAAGGAACAAAAGAATACCTGGTCCTGATCCAATCTTAATTTGATAGGTGGAGTGTCAGCATGGAGATAAACGCCTAGAGATACTACTGGCCCGGTTTTGACTGTAGTTTGTGCGACCGCAGGTTCTGGGGAAGGTACAGGTATTTCTGGCTGCAAAAGTACAAATTATGTATGAGAATATCGTAAAATCTTATAACATTTATTTATTAAAAATAAAGGATCAAAAAATTTACCTCTGGACTGTTTTTCTTTCGCCTGCAAAAACAATTTAAATGTTTAAAAAGGTTTTATACAATACACAATATGTTATTAATACAATATAGACAATGTACCTTATTGGTCCTCTAATAAATTCCTTTAAAGATGACGGCTTAAAATCTATCCCGCTCGTGAAATATTTTGTTCTCTGAAACAATTCAAAATATTAAATTATTTTCCATTTTTATATATAATAGAAACAAAATGTTTATAGCATTTATAAATATAACTTACGTCTTCCTCTTTGTTTTCTGTATGTTTGGGCTTTGCTTCGGGCTTTTTAAAGCTTTTTATTTGTAAGGATTTTGTAACAACCGATAGAGTAATAGTTGTAGTGACCATATCTAACACAGTTGTGGGAAGGACCATCCTTGAGGCTTTTAATTGGGATTTTATCCCAGGCGCCGACTTGTCTCTTCCAGAACGTTCTGTTCCAACTCTTACTTGTAACGTATAGCAAGACACATCCGCCAGACGAGTTTTCCAGGGAAATGAATCTTCTTTTGCTGTATTCATAAAAGATAAAACTTTTAATTTATACATCATTCTTAATATTTAGACATCTAAAATAAAATTTGAAAATTTTTAGTTTTTCAAATGAGACTAAGAGATCAAAATACGTTAATCAATAAGTAATTGAAATAAGAAAAATAAATATTAGGTTTTAGAAATAGAACTTCAATACCAACTATTTGTTTCGCGAACATTTGGTTCGCATGGTGTTTACTTGTAAACTCACCATTAGGGTCACGTCTCTGGTAAGTAGGACGGTCGGACCTAACCTCCTGCCAGAGGTGTTTTGTTTGTGAATTGGAATGCATCGACAACCGGCCGAGGCTAAAAATTAAAAAATAAATATTTCAAATATACATATAGCCAATTTGTCTTCAATTAAAATCTTCGTAAGTAAGTTACAGACAATTCAATAACGTGAGTTAGACAACCCCTTGAATGAATCGTTACAGGTTATATTTTCCCTTGTAAAATTATATTAATTAATATTAAAACGAAAAAAAAAATTTTTTATGAACAAGAACGTTGAAATGAATGAATGTTTAGTTGAAGTTATTAAGTATAAGTACACGTAAAAGGTGTTGTGAGTAAAACATTCAGATTAGTTATTTTTATTTAATAAGGCCACTATTATTAACACAAAGACAGACATACATATCAATTAACTTTAAAAGTTAAAACATAAAAAAAATATTAAAAAATATTTAAAAACATGTTAAATAAAATAATATAAAATAATAAAAAAATCTTCAAAACAAAATCCCTTGCAATGATGCTATTTAAGTTGCTATTAACGCAGCGGATCCGGAGTCATCAATTATTTAGACACAGGATCTGTTGCACTGAGTAGTAGGCTAAATGACATCCTTTTATAGTAACAGGTGTTGAAAATAATGATAGCGCGATTCAAACAGCTTCCCATGAAAGAAGGACATCTAGCGAGGGGTCGCTAAGATTCATTCTAGAGCAACTACTAAAAAATTCATAATAACATGTTTATATTGTAATTATCTAATTATATTTTTATTAATGATTTATTATGTTCTAAAATAATAATTTCATATTTTATTATTTAGTGTAACTATTTTATTCTTGATGTTTTCCATATATTGTTTTCTTATGTAAAACGCCATCTCCTTGTTCCAGACGGGACTTTTGCAACGCATGCGTGTATACCCAAAATATTGAAGGCGGAAATTTTAAATAAACTGGGTCATCTATAAGTTGTCATAGTATTAACTTATAATATGTAGAATATAAAGCCATTAGAAAAAGTATATGTCCAAGGAAAGTGAGAAGATTATAAAAGGGAAGCAACTTATAAATTCCTTTCCCTTCCAGTCAAAGTATTATATACTCGTACATATAATGTAAATAAAATAAACTATGAAAAATATCATTAATAAAAATATGCATTGAGATATTAAATACCATACACATTTCGAAATCTATTGAAATTTTATCTTTACAGCGTAGGATATTCAATACTATTCAATATATTTTTTTATCCCTCAAAATAAACTCTTTCATTTCTACTTAACATGATAGATGTCATAAAAAAGTTTTATAATCTTACAACTTGACCTCAAAGTGCCTTCTAAAATAAAAGTTTGTTTATTTATGTTTTGCTACTGTATTTTATTCTCCAAAGTCTATACATATATCAAATCACAACTTTGTCCGCTCAAACATCATGAACAACATATCTTGGACAAACGTATATAATAGGTATCGTATTACAGTTTCGTTTCTTTCATCATTTACGAAACTCATAAATCATCCACAGACAGCAGATTCTATATCGTGAGATAATTTAATTAGTATAAAGGTATATACCATACAGTCAACTGCCTCGGTGGTGTAGTGGCTGGCATGTATGGCTGCACACCCGGAGGTCCTGGGTTCGAGTCCCGGGTCGGGCCAAGTTTAGTTATTGAGTCTTTCTGTATAGTAAGTCTCAGTAACAACCCGGAGTTGGGAAGTTGGCGGTGTTTCACCCCCGTGCCTCGGAGAGCACGTAAAGCCGTCGGTTCTGCGCCTTAACTCTCACCGGTCGTGTTGAGTGGTTGTCCCACCGGAGTGTTAGGAATAGAGAGTGATAGGAATAGAGAGTGCACTTGTGTTTGCGCGTACACTTGAGCACTATAATATCTCTTGCGCAGTTGGCTAATCTCAATGAGATTGGCCGCCGTGGCCGGAATCGGCTAGGAGAACATCATCATCATATACCATAGAAATTTTATGCTCATTTGCACACATCTTCAATCTTCATACTAATTATGAGCAGACAAACAATCGTCTAAAAGAATATCTACAGTATGCTCTTAGTGATTCGTAACTGATACAAATACAAAATCCTCATACGATCATTTACGTACATATGTTTGTCCGTCTATCACAGTTTATCTTCTCCAAAACCACTAGATGGTAGAATAAAATATACTACTTTTATTTACCCATTTAAAAACATTGTTCACTTGTAATGAGATTACAAATAACAATTACATTTTAAGAATTTTAATATAATGATTATAAACATAAGCAGTAGAGAACACAACTAAACTATTAAAAATATAGCGGACTAAGAAGAGAGCTTTTTGTAAAGCTGTTATGATTTTATTTTTGTACATTTTTACACTTGCGGCTCACTCTTGCTTCGTTCGGGTTCACCTCTAGAAAAACAAAAACAAATTCATCCTACGGGAACCGTATATTTTTCCGGGATAAAAAGTGGTCTATGTGTTATTCCAGATAAAATCTATCTCTGTGCCAAATTTCATCCAGATAAATTAAATACAATTGTCCTTTCAGACTTTCGTCGTCGATGACCAAGATTGCTGTAAAGCATTCGAAACGGCGGGAACCAAGAACCAAAATAAATCCACGAAAAAAATCCGAAAAGATTTTATTTTATTAAAAATGTCAAAGCAAATTTATTCGCGTAAATCTAAGAAAGTATCTACTAATAATATAAATGTGAAAGTTTAGACGTTTGGATGTTTGTTACTCAATCCAAGCCAGACAGGCTGAACGGATAGATTATATAGTCTCGAATAGCACAAAGGCGTTTATCCCGGAAAATGTACGGTTCCCGTGTGATTTCTTTTTGTTTTTCTCCATCCTCGGGTAGTCCTCCTCGCTAATATATGTATATATTTAAAAGTCAATCATTCTGTATTAAAAACTCTTTCGGTAAATTGGTCGTTTGGACAAATAAGCACTGTAACAAATAAGCACTTACTTCACGACAAAAACACGGTGAGCAGTAGTTGCGTGTCTCTCCATAGCGTCCCTAACACTGACGCAGTCGAGGGCAGACACTGAGGTGGACGTCACATATATTTGTATGAGGCCCACTTCAGCAGTTAATAGCAAACGGTTGAGGCGTTCGTGTAGCTTTAGTAGATTGTCCCCACTCCACCAGGACTCGGTTACTGGAGTCTGATTGTATAAGGGCATTACTTAAATTTTATTCATTTGTTCATGTTAGCTAGCTTTTTATCATATGAAAATTTATTTTACTTACAATTATTATTATAATATTAATGTTAAATTAATGTTATCTTTTTAAAATATACGCATTCTTATTAGGTTTTCATAAGTAAGTCTTATTAGCGAAATGATTATAACTTGCTAATAATTTTATAAAGGAAAAACAATGAAGAAAGTTGCACGTTTAATAGAAATAGTCCAATACCTGTGAAATATTCCCCCGGACATAGCCCGCGTGATACAGTATGATAAGAGTTCTATGCCATATAATTGAAAAGAATTGAATCTTTTCGCAAATTTTAAGTGTACAATTAACGTATAACTTCTAATAAATCCGTGCAATCACATCTTGCTAATACCTAATATCGTTAACATTTCCATTATAGAATTTACAAAATGTTTAGCAATATTATTGACATAACCTATTAACACAACAGGTTATACATATTTTAAACCAGACCAATTTATAAATACTTTTTCGTATACAATACATACCGCCTTGGGAGTACGTTTTGGTTCATTTTTCTCGCTCCTTTCACTGCTCGACTCTACGCTCCTCGGGCGAACATGGACCAACTCCGTGGCAGAACCAGAACGACTCCCACCGCGACCGCTTGACGACTGTTGTACGATAGAAATAATAATTATTAAGTATATTAACTCAGACTAAAGTATTATATAGACGGACAAAATAAATGTCAAAGTCAAAAATAGTTCCGTGTTTTGCTGTTTATGTTACTATTATCGATATTGCCATACAGATCATTTACTTTCTTTAAAGAATAAGGGAAATTTTATAAATTTACCACTTTAAATTAAGTAAATGCATAAGATGAATTACTTATTTACTTAAAATATTTATGTTAATTACCTAAATAGGTATACGGATGACTAAATTAAATAAGAGGTGTCTTTTTTTCTTAAAATTCATACAGAAATCAATCTTCAATTATAGTGTATTGTTGACTAATATGCATTTTGTATCAGTTTTTTCATAAAAATTAATATCACAAACCCTGAATTGCTAAAAATGTGAATGATTTGATTATTCGCAGATGTCACAAGTAAGCGTTTAACTTGACATGAATCAATTAAGTAAATTTAAATTCTCATAAGTAGCAAGGACATAGTGCTTGCAATGTGGAAAACGAAAAAAATAATAATAAAAATGAAATTATAATTTTACTCACTGGTGGCGTAGTACGTCTTCGTGACAAATATGGCGTTGACGGTGTTGTCTTGACGCTAGGTATCCGAGGCACTGAATCTAGAAACAGTAAAGATATACAAAATGAAAATTGAAATCATACTACAAATACGCTTTACACATGAATCTAATATATCTAATATATTTAAACGAGCAATTCTTGTATATATATATATATCTGAATTTAGGAAACGGCTGCAACGATTTTCATGAAAATTTAGTATACAGAGGGTTTCGGGGGCGGTAAATCGATCTAGATTAGTTTTATATCTGGGAAAACGTGTGTTTTCGAGTTTTCATGCGGTTTTTTCGCATTATTCCACTCAAAATATGGTCGTTAATTCGCACCTTATGACATAAGCATCATGGTCAAGCGGCCAAGGCGCAAGTTTGACTACCACCGTTTTTTTAAATAGAATTTTACAAGCACTTTTGAATCGTCAATTTTACATTTTAAATTCAATGTCAGTATGTAAAACGTTATTTTTAATTTTAGTTCTACATCTAGATAAAATAAATTTTAATATCTTTAAGTGAAGAAAATGTACTCACTCATCCCGCCTCTGTTTTCCAAAACTCTCTACCGACAGCCAATATTTCTTATATAGAAATGTTCTAACTATAACTAAGCCTAAGATTTGCGATTACTTAAAACATAGTAGGCCACAACTACCCTACGCATCTATCTAAATCTTTGATAGCAGTAATTATATACACATCAATGTATAAACAATAACATACCAGTAACTGGTTTCAACTTGGGTCGGTAGCCCAACCAGGCCACCAGTAGCGGGTCCACACTCAACGCTGTCGGTTCGACGGTCACGTTCACAAATTCTAAGCAACTAGGGTTGGGAGCTTTACACCATTGAACCGCAGTACGGAGATACGGCCTGTAAATAAACGTGTTAATGTTATCCATGTACTATTGGACTATATGTTTTCTCAAGTCATAGTCTATATGCCTACTGAATTTTATCTAAATCCGTCCAGCCGTTTTATCGTGAAAGAGGAACAAACAAACACACACACACAAACACACACATAAACTTTCGCATTTGTAATGATTATAATATACCATTATTATGGAAGTTAGATATTACTACATACGTATTTTCTGTATAATCATATACTACTGTACTAAAATACAGATAATTTTAATTTTGCACAGGACATATAGAAGAAAGTATTTATGAAAAAACAGACATTAGTGTTCAGGTGTATCTATACACTGCTAATATATTATAAATATTATATGTTATACAATATAAATATTATGAACTCACGTAGAATTCGGTGCTTCTGGCGCGGAGAACAGCCATGCTTGCTTTAGTTCGCCGCCTACTAAATAAACCGTATAAAATACATGAAAACAAAAGAAAAATAAGACATTACAATATAAAACAAAAAGAAATATAAAACAGTACAAGATATCTGAATTCAATAATTATTTATAAATACAGAGTTTTTAAAAATAACCGTTAAAATGTTAGAAAATTTATGCATTTATTAAAATAGAATGAAAATATAATTTGGGGCTTATTTGTTCAAACTACCAATAGCTGTGGTGGTTTTCGGTTTTTTAAAGTAAAATTTTAATTTAATACCAATAGAATTGACATTTAAAAGTCAACAATTCTGTATTTGTTACTCTTTCGGTAAATTGGTCGTTTGGAAAATATATTAATATTCATATAATTGTTTTTCTCAAATTTAATCACTTTTTTTGGACCAAAGACCTTAAAGCACGGAGACGACGGTACGTTAAAATATCCCATGACCCCACTTACTTGGATGATGAAAAGCGGTCGCTTTGGCCGAATTTAAGGTAATAAAGTGAGTGTTGATGTTTTTCGTCACATAACCGCGCAACGACAGCCCCTCTAATGTCACATCGATGGCGACAGATTCTAAAACGTACAAACATACAGAATAATATTAGATCGAGTTAAAAAAGTAGAAGAAAGTTGGTATAGAATTAGTAACTATGGTACCATTAACCATTTGAACTACTGGGATAAAAAGTAGCCCAGCCATAAAGTATCTCTGTATCAAATAAATCATGCCACAAATCACTATCTGTATATAAAATCATGGACATAAAGAAGTATTATGTTATATTAAAATAAATGCAAAAAATGGTATAAAATTCGGAACCTCGATTACCTTCATCGCTCAGGGCATCCTTTGCGAGCGTAGTATGTTGTAAAGGAATGGCGAGCTTTTCATTTATCAAAGACTGAAGTACATGATATGCGGCCTGTAGTCGAGCTGCCGAACCACATAAATTAGCTTCCCCTGTTAAAGAAATTTATTTTTAAGATCAAATTATATCTTTGTACTTTATAAAACATAATTAAACTGTTTTGTAATTTTATATTTTGTTATTTTTTGTGTAGACGATACCAAAAATCAATTGACATACATTTTCAAGCTGTCAAAACTCGGTACCATGACTATTTATTGATGTCAATACAACAGAAAATCTAATTTTAAATTAATTGAAAATCGGGTCTTCAGTGCTAAAATAAACTGATTTTCAAGAAAAGTTGTGTCAACTACCAAATATTCGCTTTACTTAAAAAAAACCGGCCAAGTGCAAGTCGTACTCGCGCACGAAGGTTCCGTACCATTATCTATAAAAAAGACAAAAAACCACGTTTGTTGTATGGGAGCCGCCTAATAATAATATATTTGTTTTATTTTAATTTAATTATTTATTTTTAATGTGAATATATAACTAACATTTTGTGAATATTTCAAGCGTCTACCTGTTGCCGTTATCAATATCAAGCAAAAACGAGCAAAAAAATTACGTTTGTTGTATAGGAGCCCCGTTAAATATTTATTTTATTCCGTTTTTTAGTATTTGTTGTTATAGCGGGAACAGAAATACATCATATGTGAAAATTTCAACTGTCTAACTACCACGGTTCACGATACAGCCTGGTGATAGGCGGACAGACAGACAGACGGACGGACAGCGGAGTTTTAGTAATAGGGTCCCGTTTTATTCTTTGGGTACGGAACCCCAATAAAAGAAGACACAAAAATAGACAATATAATGTAATTTCATATAAAAAACTAAATATATAAATCAAAAACACGCATACGTATAGTAAGAGTATATCCAAAGAGCACGCTTTCCGCACGTTTAAATAACGCACTATTCAACAGCGAATGCGTTACAAAGTGTACGTTAGCTCTAGCGCAGGCTCTTGGACTATCTTCCTCTGAAGAACAAATGCCTGCTTGTAAGGACTCAATATTGGCTGATAGGTGCAGTCGGGCACCTTGCCATAGCGCGCCAGAGTCATCTAGCATTTGACATGCTGCTGAGCATACTCTGTGGGAACGTTATAAATATCATATAAATAATTAATATAAACTCAACTATTTAAAGACTAAAATAAAGCAGTCCAATCTTCCACCATAGTAAATATTATTTTTTTACTAGTAAGCTTAGGTAGTCTTTTGCAAAAAGTAATAAATCCAAAATATTTTGTTCAGCATTAAATTATTACAATTTTTTACTGAACATCATGAGTTTACAATCAGTTCGGAAAGAAACCTCAAATCTGAGAAGAACTGGCGAAGAAACTCAGTGGGACTAAAATATTTACTTACTTAAAAAGTATTTAAATATAAACTATATTATAAAAAAAACTAACTTAAAGTAAAAGAACTTAATAATAATCTATAAATTAATAATAAATAAATTTTTGGTAGGTTATCACACTTTCATAAATAACCGTAAATAAAAAAAAAATAACCTACAAAAAGTGGGAAAAAACTAAATAAATTCAATAAATTAACTGCACAATTTCTGGCTTGTCGTTTTGACTTCTTTGCCTTTGGGATATCTTTTATCGGTGATACGTCACATAATTTATTTTATACAAATTAAAATCATAATTACCTGTGCGGGTATAAAGGTGACGTGATAGATATGGATGCATTAGGCAACTGTATGTCCAGTACTAAGGGAGACTTGGTTTTGTGATCCGAAGTATGCTTTGAAGGTACGATTTGTATTTTAAGACCACTTATGTCTATATTTGTATGGCGCAGAGGCAGGTTTTCTGAGAGCGCGTCACATTCTTCCACGGTTAAAGTACGCATTGGGACTTCTAGAAAAATATAGTTACATAAGTAAGTAACTTAAATATTTGTCTGTACGTGTTGTCTAAATTATTTTTGTGAATGTTTATTTTTCCAAAACTTATGCTCACACACGCAAACTAACTTCCAAAATTTAGAAAATCTTAAGAAATATCTTTTAAACGTTTTTCACATGCTTCTGTTAGTTTTGAATGGAATATATGTATTTTTCACATAACACTTTTTAATATAATTGGAAAAACATTAACATATTTTGTGTAAAACTATTTTTTTAATAAAAAATAAACGATAGATCATTATTATACCTGGTTCTTCAAGGACAGGAAGCTCTTTTAGCACGTTTTTCAATACTGCAAGGCGATGGATTAGACCTGTCGATATGTCGATTGAAATAGGTCGAAGTTTCACCTTCAGACTACTGTCTTCTAGCCAATCACTAAAAATGCAACATTTAAATATATTACAAAACACATCAGTATGAAAAATAAATATAAATTATAAGTGCAATACTTGTATGTTACAAAATTTATGTATATTTTTGTGTTCACGTATGTAATGACGAAATGTAAACCAAGGCTTCTAATGGTAACGGTAATGGTAAATTAATTTATGCCTCATTATACGAGTATATAATATAATATAAAATGGGCCAATAATTTCCCTTACGTATTCCATAATTATAAAAACAAACCCGATTATTACCTATACTCAAAGTCTCTAGGCGGATTATCATATGGGTTAGTCAAAGCGTCCGAAGGTGACCTATCATGATTGTACTCGAAATATATAACTGGCGCCATCTTTTGCCAAAATTCGTCAACATCTTCATGCGCTTCCGTATCTCGTTGACTCGTATCAACTTTCGGTCTCTCCGTTGTCTCTGGAGACTATAAAACACGAAGTGAATATAATTTATATTATTATGAAACTTTAAAATAAAAACATACATAGCACAAATATAATATGTATAAACTCGTAGATGTAAAACTTTTGATTTTTTATTCATATAATATATCACTTATAGTACTATATACAGTGGACTATATTATGTCAAAAATAAAAAAATCATCTTCTAATAAACGAGGGAGACAAAATTAATCTTCAGGTACAAATTTTCTAAAATCATTGTTTTTGCTCATCTTCGTTAAACAAGTATCTAATTCTTGTGCAAAATGTCACATTCTAGACCCAGTGGTTAAGTATATACAAACAACGTTTATAATGATACGTTTATAATACATGACTAAATTTAATATTTTTATTATGTAAATATCTTTGAATATAGCCATATTAGTATAACTATATTGTACACTCACACCCTCATTAGGCCCTTTAAACTCCTCATCGATAGCGACAGCAGTCTCCACCACTTGCTCTATAAGTTCTTCTTCCACCCAACTCCAAGGCTCTTCGTTGTCGCTTGCTATTTTCTTTAAATATATAGTCGGTTGGTCTAAGCGCTGCAGCAGAATAAGTGTTAATGTTAGGAAATTTATGACAAAATAGAAGTTTCCAGAATTTGAATTTGATATAACTAATTCGGCTGTTTTCGAAAATAATTATTAATTACGAACGCAAGCCTACCTCGTTTACAACTCTTTCTATTAGTGAATACCATAACAAAATCCGTTGCGTGGTTTAGAAAAGGTAAGCGGAGAAACAGACAGAGGCAGATAGCAATTTTGTTTTATACATCGTCGCTTTGCTCGGGTGCGTCCCAGGTTCGTTTTATATAGATAAAAATACTTATTGCGACTGTACCTTAGGAGATAGGACATATGCTATTGCAGACTTTTCTGTAGGCCTTTTTAAGACCTACAATTTTCTAGCACATTGTTTTAAGTTTTGTTACACATTGTATTGATTCTCTAAAGTTAATCGTAGTGTGTAATCGTACGACAGTTTTTTTTGACATAATTTTCTACAAAATATTTACATAAATGTTCCTCGTTTCTCGCTCTTTCTATTATTGCAAAACTTAAAAACAGAGGTAGACAGCGACTTTGTTTTATACTATATATGTATAGATAGATAAACAAAACTCACAACACTAGCGTCCAGCACCCCGCATACACACTTGCCGTGCGACGAGAGTGTGAGGAGGCGCGTCCCGAGCTTCACACGCAAGAGTGTGGGCGAGCACATGGAACTTTTTATGACCGCATCGGTCGCCATCAGCTCTAGTATACCACGTGCTCGTTTGCGATTTGCTGCCTCTAATTCCATTATCTGAAAAAAATATGTTTTAAAATAAAATAATCTATGTTATGCTCAAACGGCTGGATATAGATGAAATAACACAGACTACTGTTAGTTATAAAATTTAAGAATAGTTAGCGCTGCCTAAATAAACTGTCTAAGTAATATTTTAAATACAAATAAACTCACCTAGAAAAGGTAAATCTCTAGTTGCTTATAAAAAGAAGATAGCAATATAAGAATAAGAAGAAGATAAATTTAATCTACCTATGAAAAACAAAAGACCGTAATAGAGACAATAAAAAAGTTTTAAATCACAGTTACATTTTTAGATTAAACAGTAAACCTACTTTTAAGTCATACATAACTATCATATGTCTAACCTTAAAAACCAAGGAGACATGATCGAAATGCGCTGTAAAGGCGACAGGCACCGGGGTGGCCGGTGCGGGGGTCTCTTCCACCCCCTCGCTGTCCAACGTGGGCAGCCAAGACCACGCCCACTCCGACCAGCTCTCTGTTCGAGTTGGTTCAGCAGAGTTTGACGATGCGGCATCTAAGGTGTTAACAAAATTCAAAAAACATTCAAAACTGTTATTGCATTAAAGTGTAGTTTTTTAAAACAAATTTGAATTTCATAAAAAGTACTGATAATCTACAGAAGTTCCACTTCTTGCGCGTGTAACACATTGATACACGAACTCTTTATTATAATTTTTTTACAACACTCACTCATAGGCATCACTTGCACATTCGACTGTTTAGCGACAGGCGGAGGCGACTTCACTTCCACCGGAGTCCTCTCTCGTATCAGTCGCAGTAAGAGTAGGAGCTGTTCATTGTTCACGCCCCACGCCAGACGGCTGGACAGCAGTTGCACACTGAGGCTTCTAGCACGACGGGTGTTTGCTGATATCAGTCTAGTTAACACTCTGGAATACGTTTATATTAATGGGATTTATATTAATACTAGCATTGCCCGCGGCTTCGCCCGCGTTCAGATGACCAAAAACCAAATTCTTAGGTTTCATATATTAGTACAGGTACTCTTACATTGCAGTTGTCTTGTCTTTATTGTCGCAATAGAATCCAAAACAATGATTTTTAAAATTTGTCTGTCGGTTTGTGTGTTAGTTTGTGCGTTTGTGCGCGCTAATCTCAGAAACGACTTAACGGATACGGTTTTCTCTAATTTATTGTGGTAGGCCTCGTTTAGTATTTGTTTTATTTCACTCGGTTCATAAATAAAAAAGTTATGTCAATTTAAAGAATGACCTAGGGACGAACCCGAGCAAAGCGAGGATGAGTCGCTAGTTAATTACAAAAAAAAAATTGCTCAAGTATTGAAATAAATACTTCATTTGTTGTCCGCCGCATACCGAGTTAAAACACACTTTAACAGATAATAAATAGAGATTAGATAAAATAGTCACCTTAGGTCTAATTGACAGCGATACAAGAGTGGTTCGTGAAAGAATCTGATCTTGCCATCGGAATCACTCTTGTCAAGGCACAGAGTGAGGTCATCCAAGCGGACCAGGCGCCTTATTGCTGGCTGGTTTTGGTCAATATCTGAACGAAAAAAGTTTTTTTAACTATTCTTTATGAAGTTGCTGAAACATCCTGTTGTACTTAGACCCTTTCATTATGCATTACAGAATATATTTCAAAAATTAATAGTTTATCTTTCCTAACCGATGATAACGCAACAGATCTACATTTTTCAGGTTTATTGACAGGCATTATAACCTGAGATTTCACATGAACACAATATGGAACAAATAGTGAATATTAGGTACATATGTATTCAATCCTTTTTAACTTCCCACTGCTGGGCACGGACCTCTTTTCAATACGAGGAGGGTCAGGCCAAAGTCCTCCACGCTGGCCGAGAGCGGGTTGGTGGACTTCACATGTCTGTGATAATTTGCTCGGTTCTCTCAAACAAGCAGGTTTCCTCACGTTGTTTTCCTTCCCCGTAAGTCAAGTGGTAATCATGTAGGAAATGATTCGCACATGAAAATATCAGACGTGCGAGTCCCGGGATTTGAACCCGCTTCACTCGATCTCCTAAGCGAGCGCATTATCACTGGGCCACCACTGCCCTTATTATACATAGTTAAATTAAAGGGAATGTACATCTTATCTATATTCTTAATGGTATAAATCGTTATTGACCAAAGTGTGTCAACCACAACAAATGTGCCTAAAAGTTGCTCAACTATACATACTAAATATTATAATGGACAAATAGTAACATTGCTTAAAGTGTGATTGTTATCTACATGATCACTTACCAGCAAAAGCAGGTTCCCAATTAGGACCAACACTGTCAATAGCCAAATGCTTTACATTCAATGACATAACAATATCATCGTGAACATACTTCACTATTAATGAGTGTACACGAACAGCGATATTGCTCACTATTCGCCGTACAAGGGCCTGCATGTAACCCGGTGGTGCTTCTACAACTTGAGTTCTTGAGCTACAAAAAAAGAATAACAATATTTTTCATTCAAATATTATTAAGTTTGTGCATGGTCTGTTACATATCATTCAAATGTTTATTGATGACGAGTGATGTTGTGGGCAATAACTAGTGTTTAATAATATCCATGTAATATCTAAAGTAAGCATATACACTTTTTGCTCTAAAGATTATGTTCTGCTTTTTCATCTACATAAAGTAAATAAATGAGTAAAATAAAAATACAATCAAACGAAAATAACAAAATTTAAATTAGCTTTTTAAAATTTAATACAAAAACTTGGAATTTGGAATGATTATATTCTACTGTAAAAAAAAAATAATTTATAATGTATAACCAAAAAGTGGTTGACTATTATTTTTTCTTATAATTTTGTTATTTGAATATACATGAAATCCTGTAAGATAAAAAGATTATTTGAATAACATGCATAAAGAGCTTCATACATAGATTAGTTCTTATTTGTACTGCCTTGGTGGTGAGTGGCTGGCATGTATGGCTGCACATACGGTCCTGGGATTGAGTCCCGGATCGAGCCAAGTTTAGTTATTAAGTCTTTCTGTATAGTAAGCCTCAGTAACAGCCCAGAGTTGGGAAGTAGGCGGTGTTTCACCCCCGTGCCTCGGAGAGCATGTAAAGCCGTCGGTCCTGCGCCTTAACTCTCACTGGTTGTGTCGAGTGGTCGTCCCATCAGAGTATAAGAGTGACAGGAATAGAGAGTACACTTGTGTCTGCGCGTACACTTGTGCACTATAATATCTCCTGCGCAGTTGGCTAGTCTCAATGAGAATGGCCACTGTGGCCGGAATAATTCAGGAGAACATCATCAGTTTTTATTATGATGGTAATTATGCAATAGAATTGTCATTCATAATAAATTCAATTAAAGTTTTACCTATGAGTTTCTTGCTGTGGACTATCATCGGGAGGTGGATTCAGACTTAAAATGCACTCTGAAAATAACAAATATATAAATAATCATCCTTTAATTACATTTACCATAATCATTTTTTTGTATGATAATTAAAGTTATAATCAAGTATTTGTAAAATAATTTCCAATTTTCTTTTGATCACCAATTATTTCAATAGCTTCAAATAACAATTTAATTTCATCCATGATAGGCATTTTAAAGTTAATTATTGTTTTATTATATATTCGCTTGCTTTCGTCCCTAATGGAAAACAAAAAATATCTTTCCCTGGGAACTATACATTTTTCCAGGATAAAAATTTACCTATATGCTATTCCAGACTATAATTTATCTCTGTGCCTCATACAGATCCGTTCGTTCGTCCTGGTGTTCGAGTAACAAAAATTGGATGATTTTTTAATAACTTTCGCTTTTATAATATTTATGGGACATAATAATGGGGTTATGCTTATGGAAGTGTTTAAATGTTTCATTAATTCAGTATCAGGACACATTAATTGCAATTTTTAAGCTATTACAAATGACTATTTTATTATATTACTGTAATAGATTAACTTTTCTCAAGTTAATAAACACTACTCACCAATAGTATTAATAGTGACAACAATAGGTTCCGACATAATTTTAGTCCATGGGACCTGTATAAGCAATTCATGTATTCTTCCTGACACCAAAGTAAAAGGTAACGCCACTTCCTGTTGTAGAACATCTGCCTTGAGCACAAGGTTGTGAAGAGTAACACCCCCTCCCCATAATGATACCTAAAATAAATGTAGTTTGAGTATTGCTGTCATAGCAATTAATATAAAACATTATGTTTATTAACCCCATGTTGATAAGATGATTGTATAATGTATTAAAGTGTGTAATTTTTAACATGGTATTTGTTTTAGTTATATATGTATACATAAATAACATATTTTACTACACTTACTTGTGCGTCAGCAGGTTTAAAGTCTCGAACATATTTATCAACATAACTCAGTAGTATTGGTGTTACATATGACTCAATGTTGAACATTGTAGAGATTAACCGAGGTCACCACTAACAGATTTTACATTTAACTGTAAAATTTTAAGTTACTCTTCAACTATAATACAATATTTTTTGATCACAGACTTATTAATTATTGAAAAGTAGATAAGAAAAGCTCCCTAGAAAAGTTTTGTAGCATTTTACTTTGAACAATTAAAGTTAAATACTTCAAAGTTCAATTGTAATATTATTGTAATATAAGTATGTTTACATATGAAAAACTACATTTTTAGTAACAAAACAATGATGTAATTTGTATAAAGAATTAGAACTTGGAAAGATATATTCATTTTTATAGAAAAGAAGAATGACCAGCTTGCAATTAGTCTGATTAGGATAGAAATGGTAATAAACAGAATTACAAAAATATTATGCCTATTACGTTAACTAATGTATAATGTTATCATTTTATATATTTAGTTCTTATTATTTATTTTTTATACGCTTACACCAATACATACCCATTTTTACTGAACATAATACGATATAATACGACAATACACATAATAAATAACTAAATCAAAATCGAAACACCGACTTTATTTTTTAATCAAAATGACATTTGTGATTTGACACATTGTCAAAGTATACGTATACATTTCAAATCCATTTCCTTGCAAGAAAAAAAAACATTAATTCTAAGTCACATGTATTGTCTGTGTAGTAAATATTTCAATTTACTATTTTTATTAAATACTAGCAGAAACCGCGGCTTCGCTCGCGCTAAAACTACAAAAAAAACTCTAAAAACGTAGTTTCATAGAAACTTTCATTCTTTATTTTACCCCCTTATATGATGAATTTTGAAAAATGCTAAAACACGTATTTATTTAATTTTATTGAATAGCATTAATACCAAGTTTCAAGTAATTCTGATGAATTTTTTTTTGGATTGTATTATAAAGTGTTTTCCCGTGGGAATTAGGTAAACTCCCGGGGTAAAAAGTAGCCTTTGTCACTCTCCAGCCCTCCAACTATCTGCACACAAAAGATCACGCCAATCCGTCACTCCGTTTCGGCGTGAAAGAACGATAAACAAACAAACAAACATACTTTCACGTTTATAATATTAGTATGGATAACAAAACTCATATTATTATCAAATAAAAAAAGTGTGTTTTGTGTATCAGCTGGCACCGTAAACCGTAACCGTAAATGAAAACTTTAAACTACCAATTACATATATAACTAAATGGCGGGCATTTAAGGTATCCGTATCGGTATGATATTTTTAAAGATTTTTTTATATTAAATTTTAATTTTTTGGTTTTGGTGTGCTTTGTGCATAGGCTGGCACCGACTTCGAGAATATTTGATTAGGTATATATAGTAAATTAAAACAACCAATCAGTTACTTATTTTACTCTTTTTAGTGTAGACATACCTAGTAGTAGCAAATGAAGAAGAAAGTTTTTTAATAAAACCTTTGCTTAACCCGTTTAAGTAAGTTTAATGCCAATTTTAGGGTCCCGTACCTCAAAAGTTAGTAAAGGAACCCTTATAAGTTATAAGACCACTCTCTTGTCCGTCTGTCCGTCTATCTGTCTGTCCGTCATCCATCTGTCCGTCTGTCCATCTGTTTGTCCGTGTGTCACCACCGATTTTCTCAGGCGGGTGAACCTAGCAAGTTGAAATTTATACCAAATATTAAGGTCTATATTCCCTATTAGGTGTATAAAAATCAAGATCCTGATCCAACAACAGAAAAAGATATAGGCAAATTTAAATTTTCGCGGAAACTTCAAAGTACCAAAATTTACCTTATTTTTTTTTCGGATTATTCGCTTTACTTGTGCTGTAAGACCTTGCTTTTAATCAAAATTGACAATTCTAGGTCAACCGGAACCTATAGGTTTTGGATCGAAAATCTATATAGTAGATCACGTTGACCTGGAATCACGAAATTTAGCAAAAAGCAAGGTCTTACAGCACAAATAAAGGAAAAATTCCAATAAATAAAAAAGTTGAAAATTAAAGTTAAAGTTAAACAGATTTCCTACAAATATGTAGGGCACCCTCGGTGAGCGAGTCCGACTCGCACTTGTCGGTATTTTTTATATGAACACAGACAAACTAAAATGCGCTTTTATTAGTAACACTAAAAAAACTGGCTCTAAAATCCAATTCTAACGTTTTGGGCTTATCAAATCAAAATAGGACCAAACTCAAAGTATCTGTTATTAGCCGTTAAAGAGTTCCACCTATCCACCTTCTGGCCTTACCATCAGATCAGGTCGATGATACCGAAACACTGCACAATCAACGAAAATAGAAAAACTTGCAAAGTTTCAAATCAATATGACAATATTAGAAGTAGATAAAAATTTTATTAGCTATTTTTCCACCCTTAGGGGTGGTATTTTTTTTTAATTTAAATGGGGCCAAACTGGAAGTATACAATTTAAACAAAACAAAAATAGTCTTAAATCATTATTAAATAAAACTATCTTTTCGGATTATTTCGCGGATTTATTTTGATTTTTGGTTCCCGACGTTTCGAATGCTTTACAGCATCCATGGTCACGGGAGAGACTCTCAGAAAGTATTATATTAAGAAAGTATTATTGTCTTAAATCAGTTAAAATGAACAGAGTTCTGAGGCAACAAATATCGCTAATTTTATACGAGAAATGTGTCTAAAATCTATGGGGTTACGTCAAGAAAGGCGCTAAGTCACGAGAAACCGCGCGACTGAATTGTTAATGTTGGAATGGGAATCCGCCATAATGTATAACAATTAAGATAAATAGATAACATCCATTTACTTATATGTAATAACTGGATAAGTACTTTTAAGTGTAAGTACTCGTAGCTACGTAATTATACCTACCAGCTATAATACACTGCTTCTTGCCAAATTTCGTGATTCTAAGTCAAAGGGAAGTATCCGATAGGTTTTGTTTCTCTTCCGCCTTTCTTAGCGAGCGATAAAATATGCAACATAAACGGTCGGACGATATATCTTGATTGCATTCATTTAGAAGTTTGATTTTATCACAGATCCTAGGGATTACAGATCTGAATATTTGATATTAATTTCAACTTGATACTTTCTCGGGTTTGTGAGAAAAAGGGTCTTGACATGCAGACAGATGGACGGATAATGAAAGGAGTAGGTATGGTATAAGGGTTTTTTTTTCCTTTTGAGATACGGAACGCTAAAAAGTAATAAAATTTAATACAGTGCAGGTGTTCTTGTGTATAAACACAACAAAGAACACAAAAATTAAAAAGAACATACAGACAGGGTGTCCCACAAAGAGTTACCCGAATCAGCCTCATGCTTAGAGTATACATATGTTATATGTATACTTTAAGCCCGGAGACACGTAAAGCCGTCGGTCCTGCGCCTTAACTCTCACTGGTCGTGGCGAGTGGTCGTCCCACCAGAGTATGAGAGTGACAGGAGTAGAGAGTGCACTTGTGTCTGCGCGTACACTTGTGCACTATAATATCTCCTGCGTAGTTGGCTAGTCTCAATGAGATTGGCCGCCGTGGCCGGTGGCCGGAATCGGTCAAGAGAACATCATCATACTCTAAGCCCTCATGTAAGTTACGCGATTGTTCATAGTTTTTGAGTTTTGAATTTTCATTAAATTTAATTTAAGTTTTATTTTATTTCATGTCTTTTAGTTTAATTTAAGTTTAATAAATGAAACCAAAAAGTAATTGTTATTATTTATTACTTATTTACAAAAAGCTTTCAAAATGTCGACCTTCGTGCTCGATTCAAATCCTACATCGCTTTAAAAAGTTTTAGTGATTCGGTTTCTTATCCTCTCGGTCCAATATTATTTATTATTGCAGGTAAAAGATTTGCGCCCACGTTTACAATCCTTGATCCGCAAAATGAATGAAAGTTAAACATAAAAAAACTTCAAATGTTTAAATCTTAGCTTTCCTGACTGTAGGAAATCTAAGATTTATTTTTTGGTTAGTTATCAAACGAATTAACCTTAGGAATGATAAAATGCCTAAAAAAATGTTGTAATCAGATGGCTAATTTTAAGTATTTTCCTTAGGAACCATGAAGTCACGACTCACCTGTTTTAAATTAAAAATTTAAGTAATTATTCACCAAACATAAATTTTTCACTTTACACCAACATTTTCATAATTACCATCAAAGTCACGAAGCTGATTATTTTAAACGTGAAAGTACAATTCATGAAAATTCAGTTGCAAAAAAAATCATGAAAAAGTCATCTACTCTTTTTAGATTTTTTGTTGTTTAGTCTGAATATTCTCTAAAATGCAGAAAAAAATCCAAACTTACAAACTATGAACAATCACGTAACATACATGGCGGTGATTCGGGTACCCCAAGGCGCTCTTTCTCTGGTCTCTGGACTTCCGCTTGACACTACTTTCTGAGACATTCTGTATAATGAAGCTTATAAATTATAGGTATCGTTTTCATAATTCGCAATTAAAAAACTTCTACAATAGCTCTACGCGTATTTTACGTAAAATATTAATAATTAAGATTAATAATCAAAACTATATGCTATATTGAGACATATTTCCTTTAAAAATCTTGGCAAGCATACACTTGATTATATGGAATAAAAATATTAAAATGACGATTTATATAAGTTCATAGAGTAATACCTTTCACTTCAAGGTTAACTGAGGTTTTAAGTATATAAATAAGTCTATATTTTATTTGTCATCCATGATTATGAGTCGTTAATTATTTTAATAATCTGTCAAACAAACTGTGACAACTTTTAATAATCATCCATGGTGACAATGATTGTTTGTGAATAATGCGATAGGAAAGGTCGGTGGGTCAATAAAAATGTATTTGTAGATTTTAGGTGTTCGTCATGGTTTTTGCTCTTTGTGTATTAAAATTGTAAACTATGGCTTTGTTTCCATGCATGTAAGTTTATTTTGTTTATGTTCTTTATCATTATATCATTATATTCGTTTCGTTTATTATATACATTGACATATGCTTTTGCTTTCAAATAAGTTTTTTTCTTAAATATTGATGAACTAAGTTATATAACTGCTTTTGTGTTTTATTGGAAAATAACAATGAGGAGAGACTTCATTACATAGCTTGAATTCACAAACATATAAGTATAACGTCATATTTATGATAGGTTATAGATGTTATATTATGTTGTTACTGTGTGTACAAAAGTAAATGCACTTTTGTTTAATATTTCCTCTTTATAACTTCAGCATTATTTATTAATTATACGTTTTCTGTTTTTTACAGCTCAGAAAATTAGATGGCACAGAGCAAATTCCATGCCACCAGTTATTTAATATTTGTAACCAAATAATTTTTAGATATATTTATTTGTAGCCAATGTAGCAGCTATATTTTTATACAATGTTTTCTTGATATCTATAAAGCTATGCTGAAATTGACAAACAGTTTTTGCAGATTTTCAAGACTTGCATGTGAGAATATAAATTATAATTCAGTTGTAAAACAAATTACACACTTTAGCTGTAGGAGAAAGACATGTATCACATCGAACAGTCAACAATCACTATTGAATCCTATAGTTCCTACGGGTGGGCAGTGGAGGCTACTAAGCAATATAAAAAAGAGGTTTCGTTTAAAAAAGTCTCAGATAAACTTCAATGCAACAAAGGCACACAAGCAAATGAGTGATCCTGTGAAACCATCCTTAAATCATGTTAGCTATGGAGGTCGATTTGATATGTAAGTAATTGTTTATTTAAGAATCTATAATTATTATAAAATATTCTTATTAATATGTTTATTAACTAAGAACTATTTGGAGAAAAAAAAAATTATAACACTATGGTGAAAAATATTGAGTGTAAAATGTATATTATTTTTTCAGAAATATATATGTAGTGAAGAAATAAATGATGTTCATTAAATTTAGCAATATTGGGTGTTACCAATATTTTGTTGATAATAGTATGATATGTTTTATAAAACATTTATAATAACTATAGTACTAATTTAGTATAGACAAAAATTAAATAAATTGAATTTTTTAAATACTGACTTAGGAGGCAGTGTAAATCCTTTAGCACTTAACAACATTGTATTTTAATAAACCTCATCATCTTTGCATTTTATCTAACAATGGCATACTTTATATAAAATAGATTTAAGTTATATAAATATAAATTGTTGTTGTTATGTTAAGCAGTTAACAATGACATTGCACTTATATGCAGTTTTTTTTTATCTATTTATATTAATGAGGTATTTCTATTTAATTAATCAAAGTATTGGCCATTAGTAGTAATTTTATCAATTTTTTAATGGAAACTTAGTTTGATTTTGTTATAGAATGGGCTGAATTCTGGGCAATTATTGTTTTGTCACTTATATTGAAGGCTCTTTTTAATTCTGATATACATTTAAAATAACGAAGTGACTATACACCCAATCCACGGACAGCTATGGGAAAACTTCCCTTAGACCAGTTGATTGGGCGAATAGTTGCATCCTTAAATTAAATGCCACTGCAATTGCATTCAATTATTATTATTAACTTATTGGGTCTTAAAGCAACACAGCATGTGTTAATATTAGGTGGTATTTGTGTTGCCATGGTGCCACAATGATATAATAAAATAATGTGCAATTTTGATTCCTCCAGGGTCACAATAAATAGCAATTCAAAGGAAAATCAAACAATGGAAAAATAAATGAAAAACTGGTTTTTTGAAAAATATCAGAGCTAAATCAATTTACTTTTGGAATTCCAAGTCAAAAACTAGATATCTACTAGGCAATTTTAAAAATAGCCAAATTTAGTAGGCAGGGGCTTAAGGGGCTTAATGCAATTAATATAAATTGTGAAATAATGCAGCTTACTTTTAATAAATTTAACATTATTCATTAATAATTCTTCATACAATAAATAAAGTTCTTGTAAATGAAAAACCATATCTTCTAAAAATAAATCAATTTATATGTAATATCTTTAAAATTTTAGTGCAGAAGAAGATAGCACTTCTAAGCAATGGAGAAAACAAAGTGATAATAATGAAAAGAAACATGAAGACATTCCAACAAATTTTCGGATATGGGAGACAGTTGGAAAGAATAATAATTTAGATAAAGGTTAGTTTAAAAAAACTCCTAATGATTTATATAGTTATTTATGTTCTTCTAAAGTGAAAAATGTATGCATGTATATATTCAGACCTATTTTATGTCCCATAGCTGGGCACGGGCCTCCCTTCAATACAAGGGGGATCAGGCTATAGTCCACCATGCTGGCCAAGTGCGGGTTGGCGGACTTCACATGTCTTTTGAAAACATGCTAGGTTCTCTCAGACATGCACGTTTCTTCACAGTGTTTTCCTTTACTGTATGACAAATGGTAATCATGTTGAAAATGATTCACACATGAAAATATCAGAGGTGCGAGACCCGGGATTTGAACCCGCATCACTCTGTTTCCTAAGCTAGCGCGCTACCACTGGGCTACCACTGCCTTAAAGTGAAAAATATTATCGATACAGAGGCCGAATCTATAGTTTTTAGAATTTTTGTCTGTATGTCTGTTACCGTATCACGGAAAAGCGAAGGTGAGTCGCTAGTATTTTAATATAGTATAAGTAAACAAATAAGCAAACTATTACACTTGACAATAAAGTTTTTTTTTAATAAAAATATAAAATAGCAAAAACACAATAATATCAGTACAGAAGTGTATTATCACATTTTTTGTTTACTTTAAATACATAATCCCATTATCCCATTAATCTTATAAATGCGAAAGTTTGGATGGATGTTTCTTAGTCAATCACGCCAGAACAGCTGAACGGATCTGGATGAAATTTGGCACAGAGATAGAATATAGTCTGAAATAGCGCATAGCTTACTTTTTATCTCGGAAAAAGTGTTTGTTTTTCACTGAGTTTTTCTAATCCATACTAACCGTTAAAACGTACGCAAGGTGAGTCGCTAGTCATGTATAATTATTAAATATTATAAATGTACTAGCGACTCTTCGTCTCTAGGTACCTTTTAACGATTATGTTATGTATGTACTAGGTATATTTTTACGGTATATATAGTTTTCTCAGAGATTAGATATTTTCCTGCAATAAAAAGTATCCTATATGTAGACCCGGATAACCAGCTATCATCATACTAAAATTCATCAAAATTGGTCCAGTGGTTTTCTCGTGATGCGAGATGAGACGAGAGAGACGGACAGACAAAAATTGTAAAAACTACAATTTCGGCCTATGTATCGATGATATTGACTATTTCAATAAGATTTTGCAAAAAATATTTAATGTACAGATTCAACTCAGATTTTATTATATGTATAGATAGATTATAAATAGATTTTCATGTTGGTTGTTTTTTTTTTCAGATTGTTTTAAATTTAAAGTGATGTCTTACAATGTCCTGGCTCAATATCTGTTAGAGTGCCACCCCTACCTCTACACAGAATGTTCTCCAAGTAATCTGAAGTGGAATGTAAGGGCTGCAAAACTATATGATGAAATATTGGGGCTGTCACCAGATGTAAGTGGTAACTGTTTTTTTTACACTAAATTATATAAATGGCCTTATTTAATTTATAAAATAATTATATTCACGATCTCTCTAAGATTGCTGTAATTATTGTATTTTTTAAATCATTTTAATGTTTGTTTAGAAAAGTCGTAATACTTTGATGTGATTTAAGAAAAATAATTTTTCACTACAGATTTTATGTCTTCAAGAAGTTCAAGTGTCTCACCTCAGCAGTTTCTATAATAAATTCGAGCAGATGGGTTATTTTGGTATATTCAAACAAAAAACTGGCAACAGACAAGATGGTTGCGCTATTTACTTCAAAAAATCATTATTTGATATGCAAGATCATATTAGTGTAAGTATCTCAACATTTAAGCCCAAAATCCAATTCTATTTTATTGTTTTCTTCCAGTATTTCTTAGTGATCAGGAACCGTCATTGTGTGACGTTACTGATTTATATTTTATTATTGTTCTATATTATTTTTGTTTATATTATTATCTAACAGATTAGTGTGGTTGTTCATTGTAATAAATCTCCCAATATCGATATGGTCAAGGGCGCAAACAATTTCTAATGGCTGGGTCGGGTCAAATGATTACCTACATTGATAAATAAATACTTATTCCATATCGTATGTTACTAAGTTAAATATTAAAATTGTTGAAAATAAAAACCCAAGAGCATCCCCAGAGTTCATTGACCAGAAATACGATATGACGCTGTCATATAAATAATAATAATTAGGACTAACTTGCAAAATGAAAATGACAATACAAATTAGGCGAGTAAAATAGAAAGATGTTTTGGCGTGCAGATATTTATTTGATATATTTTAGTGTAAAGTACATTATAGTCTGTTGATAAAAATAAAAAGATTTTCTTTGGTAAGGTAACGGCTGGACCGATTTGGTTTTTCAAAATGTTCATAGTAGATCGAACCAAAGTTTTAGGGAAAATATTGGAATAAACTGGCTGGAAAACTGATTGGTTTTGCTTAAAGGTTTATGTATGAATTCAATGATCACGAACTTTATTAAAATTTGGATAAAACGTTTGTGGGCTTAGCTTGTTATTAAATAAAATAGATTCTCGGGAGCTGTTCACATAATAATTATCCTCCAGATACAGAAATTGTGTCACTAAAATAATATTTTTCCTTTTATTGTTATTAGCATAAAAATAATATTTATATTGTTATTTATTATGTTCAGTAGTATAAGAAGGTTTCATGATGGCGCAATAAGTAGGTAGCTATCTATTTATATAAATAAAAATGAAATGCTGTTCGTTCTTAAGCATGTTACTTGAAAATGTCTGGACCGATTAAACCAAGTGTATTTATTTTTGTTTGTAAACTATAAGTAAATATATAGTTTTTCAAACATTATATAGTTAAAATATTAAAATTTAGTATATATTTAAAATATTAAAAATTAATTACTCGAAATATGAAATTGACAAATGATTGCCTTAAAATAAGTAACCATTTACTCCATTTTGGTCCATACCAATTCTTTTTATTTTTTATTTTTTTATTTCTATTTTGCGGCTATTTGGTATCACTGCGACCATTTCTGGTCTATTGTGATCGATACCAATTCTTATTCTTCAACGTTTTGAAAAGCAGCAAATTAGCATTGAGTATTCATATCGCCACTTACTTTTTAAGACATAAACACATATTGGCGTTTATGTTTTGCATATAAATTTATGCAATATGACATAAATAATTCAGTTTTCCATATCCCACCATATACTTAACCTTGCCCTATAACCACGTGTAATACACACGTACAGTTATGTCGATGTTTTAACAATTTCCTTTGTGAAAAAGCTAACCTCGATACTATCGAAGAGTGATACAATCTCGGAAAACAAAACGGGAAAAGGTCGTCTTTATGTATTATTGCCATAGGTACATGGTATATACTATTGTTTTCATTGTACTGTTTGAATGTCACGTGAACTTTTGCATGGCGAATGTATTATGTTTACCGATAGATTAAAATCGTTTGAAGTTTCTTTATGCTGTATAATTTTCTTTTCATTTTGTGATATTCAAGATGAATTGGTCCAAGAATAATCCTACGGCGTTATTTTGAATCGCAATATGTTTTCTAACATTTTCTAAGTTTTGGTTGTCTCTCTTGTTACTTAAAGATAAAAGGATGGATTTAGTAAATGCTAATCTCTAAATAAAAATGGCAAACGTTGAATAGACTACTATATACAATGGTATATACTATAAGCGTGCTTTTATTTGTAAATATTATCAGTATGGAGAGCTCAATACCTATTTTTATATATTTTTATAGTAAAAATTACATTTTCTTGGTAACTGCATATGCGATTTTTTTTGTTCGTATGCGTGCTTGCTTAATATTTTTGCAATAAATGAATTTTATTCATTGGCGTTTTGTAAATATAATGTGGAAAGGCATTACTTATATGGAATTGGATCGACGACTCTAGAATTTTATATTATATAATAATATATGCACGTAATTAGAGCAATCATTTTAAAAATGTATTAAGCATATATTTTAGTTCTGACGATTGTATATTATCATATGTTAACATTTTAGAAATTCTATGTATGCAATAACTTTTCTAATGCTTATCTTGTATTTTCTTAAAGATTTTATAATTTTGTATGTTAATGTAATCCTAGTTTACTATACGGATTGTTTTTCTTAAATGATCATATCGTGGGTTCGAATCCCATTTGTCTACACTTAGAGAAACTCTTCTATGGAAACATTATAACATAATAACTGTTTCCTTAGTCCATCAATTTTACACAGCTACGGTAGAATTTAGAGTATAAAATCCTTGGTTCGAATCCTAAGTTAGGTTCCAAATTCTTATCGGATTTTTCTTTCCAGATATTCTTAACAAAAGTAAAAAGCAAGAAGCTGAAAGTATTTGCTGGCGTCAAAAGCTATGTAATATATTCTTCTATGACACATTCTGTATACAAAAATTGATCTGAGACCTGATCTGAGTTAGAAAAGTATCATTTATTACACTACACGTATATGTGAAACTTGTGTAAGATATATGCGGTTTTATCACAGTCAGTTGAGCAGCTATACATAGCTTGAGTTGTCCATAAGCAAAATTTACTTATGCATACATAGGCATTATTTACCATAATGTTATTATAAATCATAGGTTATACATGCTATCTTGCGAACTAAACGAAACCGCTGGTAAAAGTTAGTGTATGGAAAATTATTGTTGTGTTTGATGTGTTTTAAAATTATTTTAATGAACATGTTAATAGTACAATGTACGTATATGTGCGATGTACATATATGTAATATCGAAATAATATTAGTCCCGCTGAGTTTCTTTCACCAGTTCTTCTCAGGTCTGAGGCTTCTTTCCGAACTGGCAGTATTCAAAAATGTAATAATTTAATGCTGAATAAAATATTTTGAATTTGAGTATGTACATATTATGTCATCAAACAAATTTGCAAAGCGATTTTAAATATTTCCTTGCTTGATAGAAATTTTCCTATAAAACGTTAGCTAAACTTATATTTATAATATGTACATTGGTTTTTTGTACATTTAATGTTCCTCTCAAATAATTTCTAAAGTAACGATGTTTATAGTGATTCTTTGACAGTATATATAACTTATTTACGAGATTTGCGAACGAGTTTCGAAGTGCGCTCTCTTTGTTGTAAATAATATTAATTTAAAATGATCCAATATTGTTACCATAACATATTATCCTTTTAATAAGGGAGCCTAAGAGGGGAGTTTGGGATTTATGTATAATGTTTTTACATCCAACATATATAACTCATCTGTATAATGTCGACCTTAAAAATCCTCTCTTTGGTTACCCTCTATGGATGAATATGGAATATGAAAACTGAATAGTTTATGTGAAAAAAGTATATTTATTTCCTGTGTACATTTCATCTGTAACTAAAGAATTGTTTGTACATCATGAACTAGCTGCGCCTCATGCGTCTTTTTCATTTGCTCTGCTGATTTTTAATAATATTGTTAATGTAAATTTGTTAAATTTTATAATTGATCGCGAACGAAATTTTAACACAGTGGGTATTATTCTGAACAAAATTACTCTACGAACATGAAAATCGTTATTTAAATGAAGTAAACAAATAATTATCGCAAAGACGTAACTACAGTAATTGCGATAATTATAAAATAATAACATTCATTTATAAATTGTATAAGAAATATATTTGCATAATAAAAACAACATAATTAAAACAAGTGTGTTACGTGGTCATTTCGCTATTGTTTTAATTATATAATTTAAAAACGACATACAAAAATTTAATAATGTTAGGCAATTTAGGGTTCCGTAAATGAAAAAAAAGAAGGAACCTTTAAAGGATCGCTTCGTTGTCTATCTGTCTGTCAATGTCGTGTATGTCAATTTAAAATGCGTTTGCTCTCTTCGAAGTAACATAATAATATGATATTAAAAATGAAGTCGGTGACGAACAGATAGAATTATATGTAGACTATAAAAGAACCCAAAACGTATTTTATACGTATAGACACACGTCTTATTTCATATTACACAATCTCAACAACAACATCTTTATATTTTCCTAAAACATTATTTAATACCATTGGTACATTTACCATTTACCATTAAATTTTTAAACAATTGACACGTCATACATCGTTTCAGTAATATTATGTTACTTACAAGGTTTGATTTAGCATACATATCAATTGATTTTATTTGTCTAGTGATTATGTAAATATATCTTGGCACAGATCTTTATTTTAAAATCATTTAGGGATCCGTACCAAAAAAGAAAAAAGAAAACCTTTATAGGGAAATTTCGTTGTCCATCTTTCGATCCATCTTTCTGTGTAGAAGCCCTTTTAGTCAAAAACACGTGAAGATATCATTTTTAATTTTACTTTTAACGTAACAGCATAGCT